AAACCGCCTGCAGCGAGATGTAAAGGGCTCAGTGCTAGTGATTTCCATCGTGAGGCGGTTGTGCATGATGAACTGCGAGCGAGTTTTTAGTATCGCTGTTACTCCTTCGTTGTGGTCTGTGTAACCTCAAAAGGAAACAGAAATGTTTCATAACCTGCTAGGGAGGCTGCTTCAGTTTCTTCTCTGTGGCTGCCAGATCCAAAAACTCATGAAAAACATTATAGATGATTTTTCACAATTTGAATATTTGGCGTGATAAAGAGTCATGACTGAAACCTATGAAATTAGTAGCTCGGTGTCATCGTTGTTAAAACAGTTAGCAGTATTCTGCTGTAATTCACTTACTGTGGCGGTGGAATCATTCTGTAGCTTCTGTCCACACGTGACTGCAAGCTCGTGTTTGCCGCTGAGCACCGTATCTCACACCGTGTGAGAGCTGAGGCTCTGCACTACCCCTGTCTTGTAGCAGGACTTACACTGTGTCAAAAGCCACCTGAGCTTGACAAAATCTTTTCTGCTTTCTCATGAATAGGGAGGAAACTTTGAGATTCCTTCCCTGTAGATCTGAATTATTGTCAACAGTAGAACAATGGAGCAAGATCATTTTCAGTGACCTTGAGTTCATCTTCTTAAACCAGCTGAATCCAACTGAACAGCTTTTTTGGAGTATAGTCTTTTTTTAATCATTGCTGCTATTTTTGTTTCGATTACTTAACAGTGCGAGTATTTGAGTATGGTAATGCTGAGGCCATAGTCCATAACAAGGAGATTTTTTTTTTTTAAACTTTCTACAAGGTCTGGCATCCCGTGGCAAGATGGTAGTTGCAGAGAATTTAGTCCTTTTTGTTTCCTCTCTTCTTCCGCCGCCCCCAGCATCAATTGCAATAACCAGTTTACTTTCAGGCTTTCATCCCAACGCTTCAGTGACAGACTTAGTTAATGAGTGATGCGAAGGGTGCACCTGCAGACTCATTTATGTATGATCCAGTAATTTATCTGTATGAGGTGACTGACACTTCTGACGAACTTCCCAAACTGTATTGTCATGCGCCAGTTTCTTTCCAGTTGCAGACGTCAATTTTTAGACTTGCTTTCATTTCAGCATGCATGATCTTCCAGTGAAGAAGTGAGAGCTCTTGTTTTGCTCAAACTCACTAATAGCTGACAGGGCTCTTTTTGGAAGGTGCCTTACCCTCCAAACTGCAGAGACGCCCGTTAAACACGCCAAGCTGTATCGTTTGTAATGCGGGGGCATGGGTAGGCAGAAAACTCTGTGACCTTAAATGTTTCAGAAGAAACGGTCGTCACTGTTCTTCACATTTCCTTGCATTCCTTTTTGTAAATGAAAGAATATCTACCAAGGTGTACGTGTTGCATTTTGGAGAGGTGGGAAACAGCTTCAGTGCTCTTCACCAAACAGTCTGACGGTGTCTAAAATTTTGGTATTGGAAGCTGTATTTAGTTAATATTTTGCAGTACTGTATTTCAAGCCTTAAAAACATTCCTTATTTGTAAGGTCATTTCAAGCTTTGTTGTAATACTTTCTTCACGTATGTGGCTTCTGTTAACTTTTGGTTGACTGGTAGAGTGCACCTTTGCTCCAAGGATACGGTTAAAGCTGGGTGTTCTGGCCTAGAGCTGCCGGGTGACGTGGCTGGGGCGATGCTGACACACTGTGGTTTAAGCTGCGCTGAAGACAGCCCTGTACTAAGAGTAGGTTTGGTAAGAGGGTTTTCCTGGCCAGTGCGGACAAGTATGTTTAATTTTTCTTAATCCTGTATTGTAAAATTTGAAGAAGTCTTTGGCATCGTTCTGCTTGAGGCGAAGGAAAATAAGTTGCTTAATGAAAGCTGGGTATGATTTGACAGTTCTTTCCTATGGGCTCGTAAGGACATCAGAGGAAGACATAAACTACTGGTTTTCAGTGCTATAGTTGAAAATAGATGTCGTCATACTGCATGCTAGCAAATCTGTTGAGCAAGGGGTCTTTTGTTTGTGCAAAGTATTTATTGTAATGGATGAATTTTATTAGAAGTTAAAAATTTCCTTTATTCACTGAAGCAAAAAACATTCACTAGTGTTACCTGGGTTCCAGATCTGAAAGCAGTGTTACAAAATGTGCGTCAATATATGTCAGGAAAAGCAGCAGCGGCACAGATCACGATTCAGTTTATCTTATCGCTGAATAGTATCTCTCAGAAGCTGCCTCTGTTTAGCTTTTAAGTCAATTGCTTTTGCTGTGATCTCTCCTGCGTTTGCTCCCTCCTCTCTGCTAACCATTCATGTTTCTGAGGAATGTAGAGCAGATTCATGTAGAAAGCACTTTATTTGCTTAGTTAAGGACGGGTCTTTCCCTGTAAAATACGGTATCAACATTTAAATCCTCTGTTAAAATAATACTTGGGGCGAGCTTTTAGTGAAGATCTGACTATTCCGCAGACGTTTGCTTCAGTTTGTTTCTAGATACTGAGTTGCCTTGATGATAAATTTTAAAAAAATAGTACAAATTACTGGTGTTCATGTAGTGTAAGCAGTTGTTGCATTGCTGTCGGCATGCTGTGTGCTTCCAGAGAGAAGTGACCCAGAGGACAGCTGCCCTGTGAGACTCCAAGCTTCCTTGGCAGACTCTCACCGTGCTGCTGTTGAAAGATTAAAAAGAAAACAGGGAAAAAAGCAAGCTGTGGAAATAAACCTAGTGGTCGTCCGTCCCTTTTCCTGGTCTTGAACTGCAGCAGTTTAAACCTGTCCCCCCGTAGCAGTGTCGTAGCCAAGTGCCGTTTGCTGTCCCTTGCTGCAGCGTGGCCGGGGGGGAGCCGCTGGGCTGCAGCCCTGCTGCTCGTGGGATCGGGACTGGAGATCAGGCCTGCCTTTGCTCTCGGGCTAATGCTGAGGAAGGTGCGCGCTTTGCTGTGGGTGCTGGGCGCTGTGTGTTTCGGTGTACACCTCTCACTTGTGCCTCGGGGGGGTTTGCTGGGTCCTAGCCAGCTTCCGAGCGCCGTGTTTGAGCATTAGGCGGATGGTCTGCTGTAACTCTCGTCTGGAAAGAAGTCTCCAGCCCGATCTGTTTCTGTTCGTGCTCAGGGCAGAGGTTATGAGTTCTGTGGAACTTTCAGCAGAGTAAATCATCAGGAGAGGAATGCTGGCTGTGGAAGCACCTTTTCTTGTGTGCTGGTGATTGGAACAAGGCTGCGAAAGCATGTTGTGCACACCCAGCACGGCTGTCGGGAGCGGGCGGGCTGCGGAGCGGCTGGTGGCCGATCCTGCTTCGCCGTTCGCGGGGCTTACCCTAGCTGTGGCCTTCCTTCCCTGCATTTTTCTGAAAGGCTCCGGCAAGAGTCGCTCAGTGATTGCTGTAGCTCCTTCCGCTCCATGTCGCACGTCTGTCCCTTCTGTCTCGGAGACGCTCAGCTGCGCTCGGACGGGAGAGGAGCGGCTGGGCTGCCTGGTTCCGCTGGAGGCAGCCTTGCAAGTTCCTGCAAGTGACCGGTGTCCATGGTGCTGGCGGGCCGGGGCCGAGCCGGTGGGGCTCCCTGCGGAGCCGTGTCCTTCCTGGAGGCCAGGTGACCCCCAACCCCTTCTGCCCATGCGCTCAGAAACTTGTGCATAGCTTTTGGGTGTAAAGCCGTTTTGCTTACAGAAGTTGGTGATTTCCGGGGTTGTGTTACTGGAGGGCTACAAGGATGGTGAGGGGACTGGAGCATCTCTCCTACGGGGAGAGGCTGAGGGAGCTGGGCTTGTTCAGCCTGGAGAAGAGAAGGCTGAGAGAGGACCTTGGAAATGCCTACAGATATCTGCAGGGGGGGCGTCCGGAGGGCGGGGCCGAACTCTTTTAGGACAAGGGGCAGTGGGCACAAAATGAAGCAGAGGAAGTTCCAGCTGAATGTGAGGAAGAACTTCTTCCCTCTGAGGGTGACGGAGCCCTGGAACAGGCTGCCCAGGGGGGAGGCTGTGGAGTCTCCTTCTCTGGAGAGATTCAAGGCCTGCCTGTACGCAGTGCTGTGCAGCCTGCTCTGGATGACCCTGCTTTGGCAGGGGGGTTGGACCAGATGATCCCCAGAGGTCCCTTCTAACCCCTGCCATGCAGTGATTCTGTGTGGTGTGGTAGAATGGACAAGCTAATAGCAGGGCTGGTGTATCTAAGAGAAACTTAACAGACACTTTAACGAGTTGAGATGGTTGCAAGGGTTTATGGGGTTTACAGTTTGATGGTTAAACCCAGTTTATTCAAGAATACATCCACTTCCCTGCAATCGTGCTGAAATGATCCACCAGCTTTTGGTGCACGAGCAGTGGAAGGAAGCGTTGTTCAGTTGTTGGATCAGGAAGATGCTTGTTCAGTCAAAGCAATGCAGCTTTAAAAATAGTGGGACTTCAGTTCATGGAGTTGTTTCCTATCTCTTGTTTTAGTGGTGGTTACATCTGTTTTAAACAGTTACTGTAGCAAAACTTAGTAGCAGTGATGGGTAGATACTGGAAAATGTAACCTCTAAAACATGCGTGAGGTGGTGAAGGATTTCCTTTCCAATTTGTCCCAAGTGAGATTCAAATCTTACTGTTACATTTGATTAAATTTTTAGGTTTTTTTTTAAAAAAAGCAGTAACACTGTGGAAGTCTTAAAGTAAATTGTTAATTTAAAAAGCCTTCTATTAGAATCTTGTATCTGTACAAAAAGGTGAAACACCAGAAAAAGTAGTTTAAAAATTCATTTTTATTTACTGAGACTTGTTTATGAGATGCTGACTATAAAGCCACATGGAAACTTAAGAATCCATTTGTGTTCTTTGTATTTGTATTCTGCAAATAATAACCAAAACGGGACAGCATTCATTTATTTGAGGAATTTTATGGTTGGACACATACCAGTACAATTGTTGTGCAGTAATTCAAGTAGGTACTGTTTTGCACAAAAGCATGCCATTTGTGTGTCTCATAAGCACTACCTGAGACAGAAATGTTGATATAGCTGATTAATTTTTCAATTTTTTTCTGTGTTAGCTGGAGATACAGATGATCCTCCAAGAATCACTCAAAATCCTGTCATTAATGGGAATGTAGCAATGGCTGATGGGCATAACAACACTGAAGAAGACATGGAAGATGGTAAGTAAATAGTTGATAAAAACGTGTGGTTTGTTGGCTTCTTTATTTTTATGTTTTTTGAGGACAAAATGGTACATGTCTTACCTGTGTCCTCTGAACCGCAGCTTGTTAAAAAAATGAAAACCTCTGTAGTTGCAACTGCTGGTTTTCTGTACAGGTGTCCTTTTAACGTAGCTGTACAACAGGATCAGGCATCTGAGGGCTTGGGGTGTTTTTTTTCCTCTTTCTAGGAACTGATTTAAAAATTGCTGAAAGTGAGACTGTCCATTGTTATGTTTTGTGAGATGTCTCTTTAAACGTACTGCAGCTGGTGCTTTGCTGAGCAGTAATTTTGTCAGTTAGGCAATTCCTTCAGGACGTTTAGAATCCTTATCTGTCCTGCTCTCGTGTCAGGTCGCAGCTGCGATCAGTTTTTGTCTTGTATGGGAAGTCAGTACCAACTGTTCTGTCGAGGAACATTTTTTTCCCACCAGCTCTGATGCCCTTTTATGTGCAAGTGCAAAGGAAGAAGTATATATTGATGCCCTGTTAATAAAAGGGGAACATGTGGTTTTGAAATCTTTTGGTTGGTCTGTTAAATGAAAATAAAGGTGTACAGATTTTTCTCTTACAGAAGATCAAATAAATTTTTAATAGGTTTGTCTGGGTTTATTTAAAGAAAGATAAAGAGTTTGTAATTCATTGTAGTCTGTTACTATGTTTAGTGAGGAAAATATACAATGATATTTCTTCTCTTAGGAGAGGATATGGGGGGACTGCTATTATTTTTAAGAACTAAATAAAATTGAATTGGGTGAAGGGAGACGAAACAGGAGCAGGATTTGTTTCCCTCTGCGTATTTCGTGCTGTCTTGGGAGAGTACATTCAGGACTAGGCTTAAACATTTATTTAGGTTTGTGCAAAATGTTGAGTGATTTTTGTTTGAGAGAAGTCAGAGCGTGAGGTTAAAGGTCAAAAAAATGCTTACTTTCATGTGTTCAGGGAATGTATAATAGAATACTGACAGAGAAATTAGCAATGCTTCATGAAGAGAATATGGTTTAAATTCAGGCCAAAACCATCTCACAGTTGAATTGCCTCTGTATCATTGCCAAAGATAGTTTCCTATGATCAGATTCTCGCAGTAAAGTAAAAAGAAGGTCTGCTTAGCCTATGAATTCTTTTTGTCCAGTTGCCTGGTCTCTTTGAGAGCTTTGACTGCTTGCTCAGAGTAACTGGCTGAGACTGAAATAGGGAATTCTCTTTTTATCAAGATTGAGCTACCTGTGATAATAAAGGATGTTAAATGTCTTGGGTCATGGTATTTGGAAGGTGGCAGGAGGAGATCACATGGGTTGATGCTGACCGTCAAGGACAGCTCTGTTGAACTTCTGTTCTCGGTAATGATGTTCGTAGGGAGAAAGCCTGAGAGTGTTTGCTGTCGATACAGCTAGTAGATAACACATTGGTCAATTGGTATAAAACTCTGTCTGGAGGTTGGTCTGTATGTGCTCGCACAAATTAAGCAAAAAGGACTCAATCTGCGGAAGCAGCTGATGAAACCGGGCCACATCAATGTTGTCAAGTAATCAGATGTACACTTCTTAGTTTAGAATAACTGAATACACTTTTTAACCAAAAAACTGCTGTAAACCAGTTTGTCATTTACCAAATATTCAACTCGTCTCAGAACTGAATGTGATGGTGTCATGGTAGGGAGAAGTAGTACCTGAAGGTATTTGGCAAAAGGCTTGTGAAAGCTTCTGTGTTGATGGTAGTACTCGTGTCTTTGTGGACTTTCAATATGGTGAGGAGCTTTGGCCCGCTCTGCTGTGGCACATCTTTCAGGGTTAAAATGTGATTGTTAAGCAATACTGTAACAGTTCCTCGTTATCACATTGGAGTAAGGAGTGCCTGGCTACATCTTGGTGCTGTTACAGCTCTGCATTGACACAGATAGAAAATGGTGTTATTGCAAAATGTTATAATTGCAAAAACATTCCTGAAGGCTTGCATCACGTAAGTGGATGATGCCGCTTTTCCAAGTCTTGTAAATCAGATTAGTTGCTTGCTGTTGCATTATTTACACATCAGTGCAGTTACTCTCTTGCTGTCCTGGTTTGCAGCATGATCTGTGTGGATAATGGACAGCTTGGAGGTTCACAAGATAGGAAGAAATGGAGGAGGGAGACATTGGCCTCTTTGATAAGCATGCTCTGTTATTCATAGCAAGTGGGATCAATCTGAACTGATAAAGAATGCATGAAGAGAATTGAGATACCTCTGCAGTGAAAATCTTAATGAGATAAATGGTTCTTGTGAAGGAGGTGAAGAGTAGGATCAAAGGTTGATGCTTCCAGCTGGGTCACAGAAATTGGCTTGCTGGTGAATTTCTGAGTTCAAGAAACTTTTGAGGTGCTTTTGGTCTTCCTGCTTAGCACAAAAGGAAATGACTGGTAAGACTGGAAGAAAGTGCAGCTCTTGTCCCCTTTGCCAGGCGGCTAAGCGCAGGTGTTGGGAAGAATTCGTGGTGGGGGCAGCAGCAGACCATCAGCAGGGCTCTCGGGTACGGCTACGTTCTCTGGGCGGTTGGGCTAGGACCTGTTGTTGCAGTGTGTCACGTCTTGGCGGTTAAAAAGAACCAGGTGAAGTAATGTGCTGTTCTTCGTGCGGAGAACAACGTAGTGAACCAGGCTTTGTGAGCTGGTATAGCAACTTCTGCAAATAAAGTAAAAAATAATGAAAATAAGGCTCTGATCAAACTTTGTTTGCAAGTGCATCAGTATTCGAAACAGTGTATAGAATAAATTCTCTTAGAAGTTAAAGTTCAAAGAGAAGGTCCCCAGCTAAACATAAACTCACGGCTTTGCAATTACCTACTGAAGTCTCATTTCTGTGAAGAACTGCAGAGGCTAGGAGGCTTTCGGAAGCATCCATCTTAGCCATATGCTAGCATTGCATGCTGTATTTGGATCATTATTAAAATATTCATAGAATATTCAGCCAGTTTCTTCATTAATAATTCAGGTTCAGAATATTTTAATAACGTCAGTGTACTTTAAAGGTAGCAACTTTTGCTAAGATAATAAAGAAATCCGCTTTTCTCAAAGGTATCAACACTTAAATATGTGCTTCAGTCTTAAAATGGATCGCCTTCTGTATATGGATCTCTGATCTGAGCGATATTTGTTGTATCAAGGTGCTAAATGTGACATTCATCTCATCGGTGAAAAAATCTTTGCCACCTAGCAAATATAATGCGTTGCATGTAACTTCACCAAGCGTTGTCAGCTGGGTCTGTTCTTTTTACCTTGTGTTCACGATCACGTGTCCTATTTGTAGCTCAGGGATTTCTAGAAGTCTTACTTGGTAGTCACGACTAAATTACCCTGCTCTCAGTTGCAATCTTGTATTGGGAGCTGGTGGACATGTGTTTGGTGAAAAAAAAGTTCTATTTATGTGCTCAGAATACTCATCACGCTTACTATTTGAACTTCGGGATTTTTTTAGTATAATTCATGTTTTAATCGATTGCACTTGCTAATAATGTGACCTTTCTGGAAGGTTGTTATGTTGAGGGGTTGTGTTCTGTATTTTTAAAGGAACTTCTATTTTAGAGTTGACCTATGTTATGAGGCTGCGTTTTTGTAGAGTCATCGCTAGCGATAGCTCACATATTTTACCAAGCAGAGTACCCTTCCCTGGTGAGCCCTTGTGCACAGGCTTTCCTGAAAAGAAACCCAGAAATGCAGGCAGGCTTTCTCTGAAGCATCTGCCGGTGCTGCGTGGGCTGCCTGCTCCAGCTGGCGCCGTGGCAGCGCCGCTGCATCCTTGTGCGGGAGCGCCCCGAAAGCTGCTCACAGGAGCAGAAAGTGAACCTGGGCAGCTTGTGCCTCGGGAGCTTGGGCCTAGCCCAGGAGTGCCGCTCTTGGTTGTGAAGAGGGAGGTGTTCTCGAGCTGGTTTGAGACGCCGTCTCTGGTGCTGTGCGAAGCTTTCAGAGTGGACACCTGCTTTACCTGTACAGAAATAATCCATTTATCGTATACCGTGCGCCTCGCCACATAACTTCCTGATCCGATGCCTGTCCCGGTGTCGTTGTGCCTCGGTGCGTTGGAGTTTGGGTGTCGCTGCACTTGTGACACGTCTGCTTCGGTCCTGTGTCACCCGTGGGCGGTGCGAGAGCAGCGGCCCGGCCGTGGGTGCTGCCCGCCTCCTCGTACGCTACTCAGACCTCCTTGTGCCCGGTAGCAAATCTGGTGTTGGGCTGGAGCCACAGACAAGGCGGGGAGCGTCTTGTGCATGCTCTGTGCTTCAAATTGCTGGGGTGAGTTGCAGGTTCTTCCTCCTGGTATGCAACTGGAGACATGTCACAATAAAGAGAGGCCAGGCACGTGCCTTCCCGGAGCTGTCTCGGTCTCCTGTACCCTGTTGTAGCTCTGTGCATCAGAAGCAGAACAGATCGTGGTATACAGAGAACTGGGGATGTGGGAAGAAGGCAAAATTAGTTTAATTGCATGTGTCAAAATAAGCTATTAAAAAAACCCAAACCCCACCACATCAAGTGTCTCATTTAACTTTGATTTAGACCACTAAAAATCTCTAAAATTTTCACATACCACAAAGAATACAGGACCTTACTCTTGAGCTATCCTTCAGCAAAGTGTCAGGAGGTTTAAAAAAAAAAAATCACCACTAAAACAAGCCACAGGGTTCATCTGTTTTGAAAAGATACTCCTGCAAGCAGAAGACAACTACATGGTGACTTAGTATCATTAGGGCAGTTGAACAGATTGTGAAAATCCTTTGCGCATCTTGGTGCATGCAAGCAGCTAACTGGAACTGGGCTGTGAAGGTACTACACAGCACACCAGAGTTAAGAGTGGGCTGTGATTTATGTTGTAAAGCATTTGATGTTTCTGCCTTGCTGTACCCGCTGCTTGAGAAGAAATTTGAGTGGTAGCAAAAGAATTAAAATAGTGTGCAGAAGGAACACGTCTCTCGGCGCTGTTTCCCTGCACGGTGTTGCAGTGTTCTGCAAAACGAGAAAATGGAATCTTCAGTTGCTAAGGAGTTCAGTGTCTCGCAGGTTTTGGGGGTTTTTTGGTTGCTTCCAATATCCCACTACATAAAACATGCTCATGTTGCGTGATTTGTGGAAACGACGCTTTGGAGTGAAGAACATCAGGTTTATAACGAATTTTGCGTGTATGTGTTACAGATACAAGTTGGCGATCAGAAGCAACATTTCAGTTTACAGTGGAACGCTTCAACAGATTGAGCGAGTCAGTTCTCAGCCCTCCCTGCTTTGTACGGAATTTGCCATGGAAGATCATGGTTATGCCACGACTCTACCCGGACAGACCACACCAAAAAAGCGTAGGATTCTTCCTGCAATGCAATGCTGAATCTGATTCCACGTAAGACCCTTTTAATTATTGTACAAGTCCTCATTAGATCCTGGTTGATCTGTATTGCAAGAAATACAGACATCTAAATAAATTATTTTACTTAGCTTTCTGCAAGAGGAAGGAACTCTTCCAAGGGTTTGAGTCCCCTTGTTCCCCCACCTTTCTAAATCCCAAAGCATAGGAGTAATCCTCTCTTGAGGTGGAGCTAAAAGTAGCTTGTGTAGCTATGAGTTTCTGGTAGAATTTAGATATATTTCTGTTTGATTGCCGGGGAGAAGTCTTTGACTAACAGTTTTCTTGGCATGGAAAACGTTCTGGGTTGGTTTCAAAAAGAAGTGCTACTGGAGCTCCTCTAACCCTGCAGAGCTATAAACCCCATCCCATAAAGAGTGTGAGCAGTTAACTGCGAGCAGCGGAGGTGGAGCGGTGTGTGGGGCTGTCGCCTCCTGAAAGAGGTATGTTGCTCACCAAGCAACATACGAACATGTACATGTTCTTGCAGTCCTGCGTGCAAATCAAAATTGCTATCTTTGGCCACTTTTGTAAATAATAGGGAAATTTCAAAATGTAAACACAAATTTCTGGGGTATTACTGCCGCTTATCCAGCTAGAGTGCAGACCCCTGATAGATGTCCTTTCCAGTAGGGTGACTCCATTCCTGCACCAAATCTCACACAACCTATAGTTCACTCTGAATAAGGTGTTGCTCTTTTCCATTATTTTTGTAATCTGAAAGGCGAGTGCTCGGTGCAGAACGTAAAGAAGGTTGTAAGTGTATTAACTAGTCACGGGAGAAGTGGTTCACACACGAGTAGTCACAGCAGAAGGACAGTGGGATCTTCAGCAGTTTCAGCCCAGATGTGGCTAGTGGAGCTAAGCAAGCAGTAATGCTGCTGCATGAGGGTGGCAAGACCTTGTCCGAACGGGTATTCAGTCTGATCATCTTGTGTGAGTGGGATGTGTTTGAAGGGGAACGGTCATAAGGAGGTGCTGCTGAGAAAATCAGAGTGTTGGGGAGTTTATTTTGTGGGAGGGAGGGTAGAATCGCCTCCGCCTTTGCTTGGCGAAAGGCTGAGCTATCGCTCTCTGGAGACACCAAGACGGCTCTGCGTTGGCCTACCCATCTGCGCTGGAGCAGGTGAGAAACAGCTCGCCTCGGAGAGCAGGTGGCTGCTTAAACCACTGTTACCTCCGGCTGCCTCGCAGTGCTTGAACAGCACTGTTGCCCTAAGAGAATCTCCATTCCAGCTTCACGTTCATAGTGTGGCTTCAGAAAGCCCCAGGGATTCGTGCCCTCAATAACAATTAACCAAATCTGAACGTCTAGTAAGGGAAAAAAGAAAAAATCCTATATGTGAGAGTAATACACCAAAAATCCCTAAGAAAAAAAAAGTTTACTTTTTATAGAAAGCTTCGTTTTGAATGAGTTTCAAATGTTTCTTCTGTATTTATAGGTCATGGTCTTGTCATGCACAAGCAGTTCTCAAGATAATAAACTACAAGGATGATGAGAAGTCATTCAGTCGTCGCATTAGTCACTTGTTCTTTCATAAGGAAAACGACTGGGGCTTTTCCAACTTCATGGCCTGGAGTGTAAGTAGTTGGACATGCGGTAATCTGGCACGGGGTAGGAACCGTTTTGAGCTTGCACTCCTGAATACCGAGATACCTATAGAAAAGGAGGGTTTTTTTCGCAAGTGGTTGTGTTTTTTCTGTCATCGCTGAAAATTCTTTTTCAATTTCTTATAAATTCCTGTACTTAATGGCTTTTACTTAGGTTGTGATTTAAATATTCCCTCATTATTATTTTCTTCATATCTGAATGCTTGCCTTTTGTTTTCACTGTGTGATAGTCAATGTAATTCTGAAGCAACATAGATTTTCTTGCATATGTGTACAGATATTTAATGCCCTAATAAGACTACTAAGGCTTATCTTGAATTGAGAGAGCTTTTTAAGCATTTTCACAGGGTGGGCCCTTAATGTTTCATCTAGCTGGAATACTGTCCAGAATAAGCAGAGCTTTGATGACTGACTGTTATTATCCACAAGAAATTTAAATAGCTCTGCAGAATCTTAAAAGCCAGGAACAAGTTTACTGTATTGAGGCATTAAAAAAGAATTAAAGTATATTAAGTTGACAAACAGCTTTGTTGGTGTCCTTCAATTTGTATTCTTCAGCTTATTATTACTGATAGCTCAGGCTTGGAATTTAAGTCTAAACTGGATGCTTCACTACAGTCATGTTGCAAGATCTGGTTTTCATGTCCGTGTGCCATTCCTCTTTTACAGGAGGTTACTGATCCTGAAAAAGGCTTTATAGAAGAGGACAAAGTTACTTTTGAAGTCTATGTTCAAGCAGATGCTCCACATGGAGTGGCGTAAGTCTCTGTTTAAAAATGTTCTTAATTCTAGTATTTTTATGTTGCTTGCGACTGCTCAAATATTTTGCGTTACCAAAGGTGACAAAGCAAGAATACCTAAGGAGAGCTACAAATATGAACTGATGAATTCTCACATGGCAGTATCTTTCATTGGTCACATAGAGAATTTTGTGTAGGTTAAATTTCCACTTGCTTTAGTCAGCAGAATGTTGTGGGACTTTAACTTCTGTATGAATTGATTTGTGATTCAACACCTCTGCAAATCTAGCCTCAACTTTTCTGACCTTACAGCTGAGAAGGCTTGCAGACACAGTCGGGTGGCTCTGCTGCCTGCCTTGCCTTGGTTTACAGCTCTTCTGAACCGCCTCGTCGGAGACGTTCTGCTGTGTGACACTTGGAAATAAGCTGGTTGTAGTGAAATGCAGACTTGCCCTTTAAAAGTGTGCTTCTGGGTTCTGGTACACTTTCGTAGTCAATGATTTTCTGCCATATAGAATATCTTTTAAGAACGTCCTAACAAAGTCACAAAGCACTTCATTGCAAAGACGGTTGTTACTGGCAGGCGCTAGTGAAGCGTAGCCTGTTGTTTGAACCGGAATAGTGAAGAGTAGCTGATACCTACCAGCAGTGCTACCTTAGAACAGGTACTTTTTATTATAGTTAATACAGAACTACCTTGTTTTAACTACTGCCTGTTTTCTAGGTGGGATTCAAAGAAGCACACAGGATATGTTGGCTTAAAGAACCAGGGAGCAACTTGTTACATGAACAGTTTGTTACAGACTTTATTTTTCACAAATCAACTACGCAAGGTAACTAAGATGTGAAAGAAAGTGAAGTTGCTAATTGGAATAGCCAATATGTTCTGTTTATAAATGCTTCAAAACAGACCTGTCTGTTGCTTTTGCCTCGTTTGTCCTCTTAGAGAAGTTATGACTTACACAGTGATGCGCATCTGTCGGAGTTTGTTGAACTCTAGGCTCTTGTTATTTTTGAAAGCACACAGAGTGCCTGGTGAAGATCTGCGCTAAAGGGGTGTTTCTTGGGCTGTCTTATGTGCTAGAGTGGCTATGAATTGTTGCAATAAAAAAAAAAAAGACCCTACATCTTGCAGAGAAGAGATGCAAGTAATTTTCCTTTCTTGAAATAGTTAAAAGAGTCCGTTAGAACTTCTCTGCCCATAAACAATGTGAAAAGATAAACATGCGTGACCTTTGTTGTTCGTTTGTTTTGTCTTTTAATTTATATTATGCAGCTGAATTTTCTGTTACTGTGGTTAGCATCTCTGTCGTGATGGAAAGCATTATAATTTCAGTAGTTTAAACAACCTAATTGTAGATTTGCTTCATTGGTATATTTTTTATTTACTGTAGATGTTATTTCTTTGCTGGAAGTAAGAACTGCTTTAAATATCAGCTTTAAATCTCTCATCCAAACCCGGGGTGAAATACACTAGCTAATGTATTGGTTTAAAATGGTGCAATAGCTTTAATCGGATAAACACAGCAATGCTGACTTGCTGCTGGTGGTGGCTGTCTGGCAGAGGGGATATACCTGAGAAAAACGTAACTTGGCAGCATTTACTTTATCGGAGTGTCCTGTTGATCCTAACTGATCCTGCTGCACATTCCTGCGCTTACTGTCTATCTCTGGGTGAAAATGAGCTCTTCTGACTTCTGCTTTCTCTCGTGTATGCTGGTTGTTACATTTTCATTAAGCTTTCTTTTCTCTAAAATTTCCCTTTTTAACGTGCCTGCTTTCTACTGTCTTAGATTTTCCCACCATCTTATCATTGTTTATATCTCTGTGGCCTGTAAGTGTCCCAGGTGGGATTTCTTTTTTCTCTTCTGCAATGTGCTGCTTACTCTGAAGCGTTGCAAAAAATAGCTCATCAAACGCCGGTAGACTGTGGCTGGGACCGTACCAATGCCCCACACGAGAAATAAATACTTGACTTGTTTTACATGATGCACCTGTTTCTGTTTTGCAGGAGGTATAATTTACGCTTTCAAGTATCATTCATTAGAATGCCTGTTTCTCTTCATAATGTTTATGCATTTTATGTTTTTGGACAACTTCATGTTGCTCTTGAAAGAAAAATGTGTTTTTGTAATAGCTCCATCTAATCCAATTGAGTAGTTCCTTTCAGGACTGTCTTGTAGTCAGTAAATCAATATGTGCCACGAAGTAATCTTGTTCTGCGAAGAAGAAATTCTGTTTGTGATACAGATTTGTTTCAACTGAACTAATCTTTTCAGGCATTTCCCGACGCTTCTCCCCCAGCCATCAGATAAATACCAGCATTTAGGGAGGGTTAATAGCTGGATAGTGACTGTATGAGAAAGCTTAACTTACTAGCTGGTAAGTGCAGCTTCCTTTATGGAAGTGTTGCTGGACTTCAGCTGAAATGCCCAATTCTTTGCTCGTTCTATGGAGCCCCTATAAGCAGGACAGACTACAGCGCTGGTTTTAGACAGTTATAATACTCATCTGCCATTATTGGAGATAACGAAGAATCAGTAGTTGTCTCATCTGAAAAAATGAATTTCTACAACGTTTATGTTTCCACTTTGAGCAAACTTGGTCCTTTTAAAACTGAGTAAAATAAAATGTGTGATATCCTCAGTAGACTTATCAACAATTCCATTATTTCTGTTAATCCTCCTTACTTACAAGAAACAGTGATTTCCATTGCTGTTATTTAGAGCTTTGCCAACAGAGAAGTTGCTGTCAAGGGTGGAGCTAGGAAAGCGATGAGCAATAGTAAATGCAAGCACGTACCTATGGCAAGTCAGACTTTGGTGAAGAGTGCGTGAGCGTTGGCGGTGAGCTCCTTTCGTCCTTGCTCTGTTTCGAAACAACAGATGGGAAGTTCCTGGGAGTTTGAAATGAGCCCTCCCTTTGTTAGCAACCAGGTGACTTCAGGGGTAGGCAGTAAAGCAGAGGAACTTTCTCTTCAGAGTGTATCTTACTCGTCTGTTGTAAATACGTGCTTAGCTATAGGCCACCCAGGCAAGGGGTGGTGGTAGCTCCCCGGATAGCTCCAGGCTGGAGCTTGGACCACACCACGCGAGTCTTCCCGTGTCTGTCCAGTGCCCCTGGCCAGCTGGGACTTGAACCTGCAGCCAGGCCATCTTACAACTCCTTGCTGCTTCCTTTGAAGAACTCCCTACAAATCCTGAGAACAATGCAGAATGTTTCTGTAACTGCGCTAAAAAGTGGAAGTGCTAGCCCAGTACGTTTCTCCCCAATGCGGCTCTGCTCAGTTTAACTGATAGGTTTTACCTTACCTCAGAATTCCATGCATGGCATTTTCTTCCCTGCTTCAATTGTCTTGACTTTAAGCACTGCGTTCAAGCTTACCTACAGCATTCTTTTACCGTATAACTAAAATGTTTCTCATCTCTCTGTTGCTTAGAGCCGTTGCCTGTACATGTTCCTGTCACTCTTTTGTGTTCGCTTCCCGAGGGATCTTCTCGGGTGTTAGATTAGAGATTCTGCTGTTTTCAAGTGGATCAAAATGCCTTACTCCTTGATCTTGAGGTCAAGCTTTCAGAGTTTAGGAGAGTAAGGCACAAAAATAAAGGTTTGTAAAGGATTATATTTGAAAAGTGGTTTGTTTTAGTTTGGCGAAGCACTTAAGCTTTGATAAATGCGTGTCGATACTGCTATACGCGCAGACAGAAGGAAGAAATGGGGAAGGGCTGTGTGTGAAATGTTTAGGCTGTAGTAGCACGTTTAGAACTTCAGAAGAAATAAAACCGGTGGTTGTATTCAATGGCAACTGGAATGTAGTAATTACAAATAAACTGTAAATGACTATTTTAATATTACTTGAGAGAGATAAGAAAGGAATCAGTTGTCCAGATGGTACCTGAGGAAACCAAATAGGAACTAGATGTAAAGGCTGTGGTTTTGATGAAATACCAAGGTGTTCTGGACTCCCATTTGTACCTTTTTGATGGAAGAGTCACCCGCGAGGCTGACTCTTAGCTTGCTGTAGTATCATCTTGGGTTGGTATAATGAATATTTAGCGGTTTAATATTTATTTTGTGAAAACGTATTAACATCAGCTACACTTGAATTTTTTCATTACTTGATTTTTGTATCTTATTTCTGTTTGTGTAAACATAGCTAGTGAATTACTGTATATTTGTTTATTTAAAAAGCATTTATAAGATGTTAAAACCAACGAATAGGGGTTGATTATAGAGATTTGGAAGATTTTTAGAGTTGGTCATTTGACTATTTCCTGTTTCTACCTTTAGCCAGTGAAGACCAATTCATAAAAGAGTTCATAAACCAGGGGCAGGGAGAGGCTAGGTTCACTTTGTAAGATGATGATGTGTTTTAGTGTTCATATTTTAAAGCAAAAAATAACTTTTGCTTGTAAAATCAAAAGTATAACTTCAGTTATTCATATTTGAGTTGGAGTTTGCCCAGATCAGCGTGGTTAACTGTAACTCTGCATTTGGATAATAAAAACGGAGAAGCAATTGAAAATAATTGTCTTTACTGGCTTATTAGAACTGTTTTGAAATCATATGTTCTGATTGTAGGAAAGAAATCTTCGTAATCGGGGTGGTCCAGCTTTACGATAGGATGTGTGGCAAGGTTGAGAGATCTCCGTTCCTGGAGGTACTGGGAACTCAGCTGGAAATGACCCTGAGCAACTGGGCCCAACTTTGAACTCGGCACCGCGATGAGCAGGACAGGAGTTCAGAACCTGCAGAATTCTCTTCCAGACTAAACCACTATAAACTCTAAACTCTTAAAGCACTTGGAAACGTTTGTTGGTGCAACTACATGAGAAAATACTATTGTTTTCTTATGTTTTCCAGGCAAGCCAGGTAGTTAGCCTGATGGATTGGCAATAAATAATGGCATAAGGGATTATTGAATTTCAACAGTTAAAACTTGGTGCTGATGATAAAATTGAAGATGCTATTTTCTTCAATTTATGAAATGTAGAAAAGCAGCTTAAGCAAATTCGGAAATTAATGCAGAGCAAAGGAAGACTTTTTTGTTGCCATTAGGGTGGGGCTGGGCTGTTGTTCTTAAAAATTACCCTAACAAAGGAAGAGTTCTGCTGGCTGTCCTTCCACAAAACGTTGGTGATAAATTCCAGCTAATTCTATTCCTATTTTCCCTTTTATATGCATAAGTACTACTATTAATGATGTAGCTCGCAGCCAAGTAGAAACATAAAATTTGGAAGTTGCTGGTGTTCAGTCATGATTCTGCTTTAGATCATCTCTGCTTACTGGTAGATTTTGGAAATGAATTTTAAAATTTAAAAGACAAAGTCATGTGAACTCTCATATTGTTTTACAGTTGCAGAATTAATCTGTTTTTCTGTGAATAGAAGGCATTTGCTTTCTTTATGAAACTGGTACTTCAGTAAAATAGTTCCTTTTATTTCATCTTATTACTGTAGCTATTCTGCTGATAGCTCCGTATTGTAATGTTCTATGAAGTATTTATGTTGCTGTACTTTTGAAAAATTTTGTGGATATTCAAAATTGGAATAGGAAACTGGCCTGCCGACTTCTTCACAACCGTTTTCTGCTTTTTTTCTTCCTTCCTTTCTTTTTTGTCGTTCCCTTGGGTTCTTTTTGCATGAGCTGTGTCTTCGTCTCATGTCTGTCTCCTCTGTTCCTGTCTCCTCTGTACTGAGCCTTCCCATAACGGTGAATGTGCCTCCCCAGCCATTCGGCTCCGTACTGGAAGTACTGTCCTGGCTCAGGGAACAGGGGACGGAGGGGCAGGATGGGTTAGAGGGCTGGACGCCGCTGAAATCCCAGCTGTTGCAGACACCCCAGGAGAGCTTCTCTTGCAGTAATGTGCCGTTCCCTGTTGTTTCACAGGCAAAAATCCAGGTGGCAATTTTTCTGTTTCTTAACCGGTGATTTTCTCATAAGCTACTTAATATTGAGTCTTTACTTTTCCAACGTGTTGTTACCTAATCTCCTTCCAGAGTCGTCTGTTTTCTTTCTACGTTCGTGCTTTCTAAAGGAGCATCTCCCTGTAGATAGCTCCTCTTTGCTGTTACTTCTCCCTGGTTATATCGGTGTACGCTTTTTAAAAAGGAGATCTCATTTCGGTGCCTGTTGAACTCTCCTTATCCCTGTTTGGTCTATTTGTGTAATTTCTTTGTTCTCAGTCCTTCCTCGACCAGCACAGTTGGGGAATTGAATTGTGAAGCTGTTTGTTTGCTGGACAACAATGATAAGTAGGAAAGAAAGTGTCCGGGAATCTCAGCGCTTCCTCTGACATCCTCTCCTCCACATGGACCATTTCTGGTTTCCTTCACTTGTTGCCCTTCATGGTTTCACGTGGTTGTGTTTTTTGGGGGGTTTTATGGGGTTCCCCCCCCGTAGGTGACAGCATTCATAGACAGCCAAGCTAGGGCACAAGACTGAAGTTATTTTCAGAAGCCGATAGTATTGATCAGAGTACCTGGTCCTGCTGGGATGATTGCGCAGGCACAACAGGCGTGAGAAGTTGTTGGAAGGTGGTGTATGCTTCAGTGCATTGACGCTCCTGGGGTGGAAGAAGGGAACTATGTAGGTAAAATAACCGTGAATGGAATCTGTTGTTTGCGTCTCTCTAACCACTGTGCTCAAAGAAGAGTCATTCTAGACAATTCCTGTTTTTACACTACAGTACGAGATTTTTTTGAACTCTTTTGGAGTGACAATGAAACAGTTATGTGAAGGAAGTCACTGAAGAGGAAAGAATGCATTAAACTATGAGCAATAAACTTTTCGTTAGATACTAATTGAACTACATACTCTTTTCAGGCTGTGTACATGATGCCCACAGAAGGAGACGACTCATCCAAAAGTGTTCCTTTAGCATTGCAAAGAGTGTTTTATGAGCTGCAACATAGTGACAAACCAGTCGGAACTAAAAAGTTAACAAAATCTTTTGGGTAAGTTTCAGAAATTTGGACTATTTATTGGGCTGTTACAGGCTTCATAAAGCTTTTCTTTTATTTATATCAGGCTATTTTTAGAGGGGTGCAGAGAGGTCTTAATATAGCATTATGTTAATTGGGAACTTCTCTTAGTTTACTTAGGTAAGTTTATGTTTATAGTCAGTGCTCAAGACAGCTGATCCGAAAGTCAGATATTTTGGGGAGGGGAGCGGTACGCAGTCAAACACGGCTGTTACTGTCAGGGTTAGAATTTACCTCTTGCTTGGAAATTGTGTGCTGCACTTGACTTAAGTAAAATTCAGGACAAAATATGTTGTTGAAACATTGCATTTCATGTATTGTTGATGTCTTTTTAAAAATCGGAGTCTGTTTTAAACTTAGAGAAGTAGCAGTGATTTACATTTCCGTATTGTTAGCTCTGCATTGATGACTGCTGTAACACTTTCTTACAACGTATCGAAGATGCGTGTATTTTTGCCTATGTACAGTTTGGAAGCATTTAGTGGTGTGTTCTGTTTCGTGGTTTAAAGCTGAAGAGGAGTGTCTGTTGCATGAAGTAAAGGTGTTGGGGCATGCACACAAAGTTATCCTTTGCATTTTTGTCATTTTAGCACCCCTTTTTCCTCCATAAAACGTCTACAAAAAGGCTTGCTTTCTATTTTCATTTTTGCCAAGTGTCTAGTTCACTGCCTGGTGTTTTTTCCAGTCGGGTGGTACTTCTTGTGAGATCATGCTACAGGGTGTAATTTTAAATCCTGGAGTATCTAGACATAGAATTATACAATATAGCCATGTTGTTGGTGGTGTGTTTTTGTTTTGTTATGTTTTTTTGTGGTTTGTTTTGTTTTTTTAAGTATATATTAGCTTGATGTTTCAGTTGAGCACAAGTCAGGACAGAGATTAAGATTAGCATAACCTTTACAAGCCTTGTCTTTGCGTGTCATGTGAGCGTGGAGTAGGATTTTATCAAAAAACGTTGTAAAAGATTGTACTTCACATTACTTTGTCGCACTGTGTTTGTAGACCGGTCTTTAGTAATATTGACAAACAATTTTGTATTTAAAAACAGGTTGGGAAGTTTGTGTCATCCTTTTCACATAGTTGTCTCGGTGTCTGCCCTGCATCTTCTGTTAAAGGCAGTAGTAGTGCTCTGTCTTGATAAGACTCTTAGTAACCTTTCCTTTGCACCTTTAGGGGTAGTTTTAAAATGAAATCGGTAACCTCAGTGTTGTGTGTTTATCTGGTCATGCCCACTTCCCACTAGCGCACTGTATATGGAGTTTATCAGTGCTCCTGCTGCCCTGTTATACTAGAAAGACTTGCTGATACTATAAATATTTCATCTTAAGATCCCAACTGCGTCATCTTTAGTAGCATGAAGAGCTGTCTCCCGAGGGTGTTGCAGATGCTTGAGTTTGTATCCGAGAGCGAGGTTTGAAAAACGTGCTCATACCTGCCTTCGTTCTCGGGAAGGAATTTTTGAATACGTTTGAAGATTTGGTCTCTCCCCCCTGTTAAATCAGAGAAGGGTTTCTGACTTGGTGAGACCTACCTGTATGCTGTGTGGAGTGTAACTTCGTACTAGGTGGTGTGAGTTTGGCTTCTTTCAGTAGCAAGCGACGCCGTTGTCTGAAGGAGCCTTTTTTTATCCTAATGTTAGTGTGTAACCTTGCTGCTGGGTTTTGTCCTTTAAGCTGACCAGTGTTTAAAGCCTAGGGAGGGAGCCTGGAGGTTATCTTCCGTTCCTAACCATCCAGCAGGTCGAATTGCTCCCAGGCCTGTTCTGAAGAGTGTTTTTTGATGTGAACTGAGACTGGGTTGTGGACTGGGAGAACTCTTCTCCTAGCGACAGCCAGGCCCTGGCCTCTCCGACTGGCTCCGGCTGCCTTCCCGCTCCTCGTCCCCAGATCCAGGGAGGGAGATGGCGGCGGGGCACAGAGCTGCTGCCGCCCCTTCTTCCGGCAAGTAAATGCTATAGAACTACAAAACCTGTGCGTCAGCCAGTGCGAAAGCTCGGAGTTGTTACAGCTTGCTGTGTATTAAATTCTTGCTCTGCAAAGGAATCACAAAAATGTCTTTTGACCTGGAAATTTTCTTCATAATATATTAATTTTGTATTCATTTACCTTACAAAGGTGGGAAACTTTAGACAGCTTCATGCAACATGATGTCCAGGAGTTATGTCGAGTGGTATGTTTTTACTATTTCTTACAGATTTGTGATGCATAATGTTGTCTGTTGATATTGTGTGTATATATAATATAATTTAGTAACAAACCTAGTAATACTGTCACTGATTAATTTAAATTAGGTCTCTAAGAGTGTTTGCCTTGGTTGATTTCTCGTTTTTAAGAATGGGACTGATTGTGGCCTTTTGCGGGTGAAGGATTTGTAAGGGATAGGGAAGGTTGAAAACATGTGGAATGTATGCTAGTGGTCCGTGTGTCGCCAGGGAGGGAAATGCAGTTTTGAAGACGCAAATGCATTGTTACGTTTGTGAGGTTTTCCAGACTCAGAGGGAAGTAGCTGGAGTAGTCCTCAGTGCAGTGTTTAGGGGGAAGAGGAGGATTTAAAGGACTAGAAAGGAGACACCAGTACGAATAGAGTAACGTTTCATTTTTATGCAAGTGACTTAGAGTTTAATCAGTGAAGTAGTCATCTGTGTGTGATGAATAAATTAAAAACTGCAAGTTTATCCTATGTAAAAACTATTCTTTCTTTCAGCTGCTTGATAACGTGGAAAATAAGATGAAAGGCACGTGTGTAGAAGGCACTATTCCTAAATTATTCAGAGGGAAGATGGTGGTATGTATTGAATCTCTTCCCCCCCTCCCCCTCCAAAAAAAAAAAATTTAAATTAACTATGTTACTTATATACATTGAAATTCTGTGGGTTTTGTTTTTTGTTTGCAGTCTTATATCCAGTGCAAACACGTAGACTATCGATCTGAACGAATAGAAGATTATTATGACATCCAGCTAAGTATAAAGGGAAAGAAAAATAGTAAGTGATGCTCTGTGTTGTGCACCAATCCAGTACTGCAGCATGTTGGAGATCTTCAGGGCCTGTTGATTTCCGATGGGTTTGTTGGGGCTCAGCGCTTTTGGAATGTACATGCCTTAATTTCAGAGGAAGGAGTCTTTGACACCTCATTGAAAATATTTTCTGCAGAAAATGTTCTTGCTTGCGTTAGCTTTTTTCCCCTCCCCCATTTCCCTTCCCTGCTTCTTCCTCCCTAATTCTCTCACTGGTATCTTTTCATAAAAGTATGAATTTTAGGAGTTTTCCTGGTGTCATAGAAGTGCGTACTGTGTCATGGTGAGAACGGTAGTGTTGTCACAGTGGGTTATAATTTATATATGGAGATGAACTTGGAGGAAATGGATTCTTATTCAGACCTGACCATAGTGATAAGCAAATAAAAAGAACTAACTACTCGGAGCAGCACAGCAGTGGTCCCTTAACGTCGCTTTCCCCGATACTTGGTGTGCAAGACGTGAAAAAGGGCAGAAGCATCCAGCAAACAGAACCATCTAGCCTGAGACGTAGCAGTTGCGAAGGGAGAACAGGCGATTTGGCAGACAGCTGTAACTGTGTGATTTTAAAATCTCTTTGATATTCTTACGTGTGCCCCTACAATTTGGTGCATTTCTTGACATTCTTAAGCAATACAAAACTTTTTGTTTGTTTGAATATTTCTGTCTTTATTTAAAAACGAACGTTCATGTCTTAGTATGTTATTTGATTAATACATTTTTAAGCCCTCAGGCTACCGTAAACTTACATTTTTTTTGTCCTCCTTCCCTACAATTCCCCTATCTTTTTTCGTTTAGTTTTTGAGTCCTTCATTGACTACGTTGCAGTGGAACAGTTGGATGGTGATAACAAGTACGATGCAGGAGAACATGGCTTGCAGGTACTCTTCTTTTTTTATTTTGGTGTTAAATTTTATTTCTCTGTCCTTGATAAAGTAACTTAACAAAGCTATGGTAGCCAAAAAAAGGTTGCAAAACCCCTTCTAGGTTGTATCAACTGATTTTGGTGATTTTTTTCTCCTTAAACAAGCATTTATGTAGCTCCTCTTAGTTGCTGTTAGGCTTCTTAAAATGGAGTTTGAATTTTAAAACAATCTAGTTAGCAGTGAGTTTTACACGTATAAGTGTTTTGGTGACCAGAGTGGTTAACTTCTCTACTGATCTCAAGACTAAGTTGTTCTTCCTCTAAGAGCAGCCTGTTCTTCTGTGTGTCTTGTAACAGAGCAACATAGCTCTAAAAATAACTTGAGAAGTCTTTTTTGTATCATCGAGAACATCAATGAACCTGTGGCATTTTAAACATGTACGTGTCTGCACATATTTCAGCTGCACTTTGCACCCACTGAAGGAAGCTGAAATCTTTTATAAAGAATGTTGTTTTATTGAAGCTTCTGCAGCTTCCATATACCAGGTTTTGTCAGTGTGTTCTGTATATTCTTTAGCTGTTCTTAGCAGGGGACAGCATGGTAGCCAAATACTTGTTGGCAGGATACAGTGAACATGAAGTTCTTAATTGATCAAAGATGAGGTTTTGCGTCTGTATTGTCTTCTAATTCTATGTATATAGGTAACTTACACTGCTGGTAATGCAGTGAGGTGCTCCCACGTGCTGGTATGAATGGCCTAAGTTTAAATGAACTGAAATGCTGTGAGTGTTCCTGGAGTAGCTCATGGGCCAGTCGGTGCAGCGTGAAGATAGTTAACTTCCACCCAAGTTTTGGTCTGTTCTTTGGTGCACGTTGTGTTGTCAAGCCTATAAAATAAAAGTCCATAGGAAGACTGTCTGCAGCAAACAAGTATTTTGAGTGGCTAAAAGTCCTGCTATTTCAACCCCCTCTTTCCTTTAAAACGTCTAGGAGGCAGAGAAAGGTGTGAAGTTCCTAACATTGCCACCAGTATTACACCTACAGCTCATGAGATTCATGTATGATCCTCAGACTGACCAAAACATCAAGATAAATGATAGGTAAGTGTTCTGGATGCTTTTTTTCATTGTAGAATTTGGACCTATGAATAGGTTCAAAAATAATTTGCCAAAATCCTCTTTTTGATTCAACTTTGAGAGGAAGGTTTGCGCAGTCGCACGTGTTGGAGGTCCCCGAAAGGTGCACTGATTCAATGTTAAGGCTCTGGATGACAGATTGAATCCTTAAATAGTCATTTGTAGCTGTTGTTTTGAATATGAAACAAGTGCATGCATCTTTTAATGCTTTCTGGAACGTTCTTTGTGCCGTGTGTGTAAAGCTGGAACATTCCCATAGGCTGCCACAAGAGTAAGTAGGATGAATTTAGTCCTCTGCTTTCCCTCCATCTATTTCCATGCCTACTCACTGTAAGTAGAGGCCAATAATTTCTCAAGGAGATGCGTTGTTGGTTGTCAACTAAGTCTGTATTGCAGCGATTTCAGTCTCACCAAGAAGGTGAGACTGCAGCAGCTGAAAGGCATTTCAAAATAATGTTCCAGTCCAGTGGTAGCTGTGCTAGAAAAGCTGCATTTGTGTACTGGAATAGAACAGGTTTTGAGCTTTTCCCTTGACACGGTGAATCCAAAGCAGCGCTGTTCCAGTGAAATTGTTCTTACCCTTGTTACTGAGGGCATGCTTTTTCAGAGGTGCCTATGATGATTGTTTTTATTCCATATTATAACAGTGTAAAATCTGCCACTGGGTAGAAATGGCATTGTGACAGTAACTTGTTCAGTTTTTGTAACTCGCTTTAGGAGTAAATGCTGATGTCCTGCATAATAGCGTGTGTCTGTCTTAACTGCAAATACAACTGTCTTAATTCTTTTCAAAACCAGGTTTGAGTTTCCTGAACAGTTGCCACTAGATGAGTTTTTGCAAAAAACAGATCCGAAAGATCCCGCGAATTACATTCTTCATGCAGTTCTAGTACACAGTGGAGATAACCATGGTGGACATTATGTTGTTTACTTGAATCCCAAGGGGGATGGCAAAGTGAGTACTGAAAAGCACCTAAATACGTTTGTGGTTTGTACTTTTCATAATGGGCAAATCTTTGGAATTTTTATTCCCTAACAGAAGTGTGTGCTGGCACACTCACTTCACTGCACAGGGATTTGACTTTGCGTAGTTCTTGGCTTGATGCTCTTTCATTTGGTGCCTATTCTAACGTATTTGGGAAGTGTACCTTGTATTTATGAAAAGAAAAACCAGCAGCCCTCATGTCTAGTTTTTGCTCTTCGGGGAGGAGCTGTAAGAATCTCTTGGCTTGTTAAGAGGGGCGGCTTCGTCTTTGCGATACAAGTCTTTCTCCAAAAGCCTAACTTGGGGAATCCCTTCAGCTGTGTGTGTGTGTATGCATAGGTTCCACTGCAGTCAGATTTTATCCAGCATGTTTTTTGGGCTGGCTTTATACTGAAGCAAATACGAACGTTTCGAATGGTTCTGTGACTCAGAAGTTGGGTATCTTTGCATATGCCACTGTTAAAAGTTCAGGTGACTTAACTGGAGCAGATGTTTATAGGTCAGGTGCCTCCTCCCTTGAGTTGACTGCTTTTCTGTGTACATGACTGTTCACAGTGAAGGCAGAAGTCAGGTTTTGCTGTGAATTTGTTGCTATTTGTCTTTCATTCTTAATTGGCTTCATGGTTTTAATTTAAAATTTGCTGTAAATTACTTTAAATGTACAGATAATTAGTAGATATATTGTGCATCGCTGCTTTTTGTTTTATTTTACAACAAATAATTTTTCTGATTTGCATAGAAGTGTTAGATATTTGAGTAACAGTCTTAAGAAAAAGCTCTTTGAATAATTATTGGGCTTTTGATATTCAGTGTAAAATATTCAAATATTTCACTAAAGGTTTGGTATTTATGGCCTGCCTTATGCTGAGCACAAGTAGCAGGTAGCATAAATTATAGTGAACGAGATTTTTTTTTTTAAACTCATGCTGCTTGAAGAGCAATTTTAGTTACTTCAAAGAGCTGAAAGACATGCCGGAAAGAGGATTAATTTAGCATTCAAGAGCATGTTTTTGTGTGTAAAATTATATTTATATTAAAATTTTCTCTCTAGTGGTGTAAATTTGACGACGATGTTGTATCAAGATGTACAAAGGAAGAAGCGATTGAACACAACTACGGCGGTCATGACGATGACTTGTCTGTACGGCACTGCACGAATGCGTACATGCTGGTTTACATCAGGGAATCAAAACTAAGTATGAATGGCTCTGCCTGTCTTCCAAGTTAGACTTACATACGGGGGTTTAGGGCTATATTTTACTTCTGAATTGCAGACAGCCTTCCTATACAAAAGGGACTTAGCTAGTTATAGTTGGAATTTATGGATTCTGTGGGATCAACCACCTTTCCTTTCGCTTTTGACAAGCGCCTGCTAATCTAGTGTCGTCTTACCTTAGCACAGTAAGGCAGAGCTGTGTATCTGCAGAGTGCTTCGGCCTGGGTTGTTTTATAGGTGGAAAAACTAGTGAACTAACTTCCGTGATGGAAACTAAATCCAACTGATTATAAATATGTAGAGAGAGAGATATATATTTAAAAAAATGGTGGGTGGTAAATATTCTTTTAATTCTGAAATGTATATTTACTTCAGAAGTCTGTGATAGGTATTTTGTGGAAGTAGTACGTTTTGGCTTGGGAGAGAAAATGCTGCTTTTGTCAAAACACGGAGATATCAAACCATGTTTTTCATTAAAATACTAAAAAAGCCAATTTTGACTTGCTATCAGAGGAGGGTCAAGGGTGTGTGAAGAAAACCCTGTTCGATGTAAACCTTGAAATGAAATCACAAAATCTACTTTGTAGGTGAAGTTTTGCAGCCTGTCACAGACCATGATATTCCTCAGCAACTTGTAGAAAGGCTACAAGAAGAGAAGAGGATAGAAGCTCAGAAGAGGAAGGAGAGGCAGGAAGCTCACCTCTATATGCAAGTGCAGGTCAGCTTTTGAAACAGGTCAAGTTGCAACTACCTTACCATTAAAATTCAGAATGTTGAGCCGCCCAAGACAAACCGTGAATTCTGTGGGTTTTTTTTAATTGGTGTTTGAAAGTAGTGTTTGAAGTGAAATTAAGATTCTAGTGCTTACAAGTGTATTTGCATATGCAGCACATCCTGATGAAACAGACGGTGCTGTGTTTTATAGGCATTTCTGTTTTCTCTAGAAGTGATGTGCTTGCAAGGGAAAATAGTGAGTTCAGGTGAAAGGAAAAGGACCAGGTTATTTTAAATGTCGGCCCTGCCACTGCACTTTTATCTCCTTCAGGAATTATTTTCTAAAATAAGAATGTATCTAGCCATAGGCTGCAAGCGTGGACTGCTGCCAAACTGAACTCATCACGTAGAAGCAGGTGGAGAGAGTCCTTATATTTGCAATTATCTTTTTGGAAAAGCCAGATGGACTAGATTGTTAGGAATTGCCTTAAGGAACCCTTTTTATGGCCCTTTCCAGAGCCCATCTGGCAGAGGAAAACAGAACCCATTTTCCATTGGCCTCCATGTTTGCTTGCAGCTTGTTTCTGGTGTTCGTAAGTAGAGATGCCGGTGAAGTTTCGCTTGTTCTACGCGGCGTTTGCACTGGAGCTGGTTTCAGTGGAGGGACTGGCAGAGCTGCGCCGTCTGCCTTTCTGTTAACAGAAAGAATGCAGGGGAGCTGTGGGAGGTACAGGAAACATTTTAGGCCAGCCTCCTTGCGTTACATCAGTAAAATAATTATGTAGCCTTTTTCTAAGTGCCAAGACTGCTAGAGTACATGTTTCCAAGATTGAGATCTAAGCGCAACTGGTGTTTAATTGTTCGAGATTTGTAAGAATTGATGTATTCTAATGACTTACACCGATTTGACGATCAATCACAATTTTTAAATTCCATTATAATCTGTGTACTTGCAAATTTTCTCCATGAGAATGTGAGTACTGCTAGCAGTGTGCCGCTGTCCAGAGAGCCGGTGACGCTGCCCAGTAAAGCATCGTGAGAAGGCACTACATTGTGCAGCTGCGTTCAGATGGATGGTAACCTGTGCGTGTGATTTTTCAGATAGTGGCAGAGGATCAGTTCTGTGGTCACCAAGGCAATGACATGTATGACGAAGAAAAAGTGAAATACACTGTTTTCAAAGTATTAAAAAACTCCACGCTTACAGAATTTGTTCAAAATCTCTCCCAAACGATGGTAAGTTTTCTGTAGCTGAATTGCTGTATGTATTTATTTTGTTACTTTCTGGTTGCTTCATAGTCTTTATCTTCTCCAGGTATTGACAGCAGTCGTAATTTAGACCTTTTAAAACAGAAGATCTGTTTGGATCTGTTTGGATTTAAGAAAAGTACCTTGGCCTTTGTGTTTGTTTATTTCCTGTCACAGTTTTTATTTATTTTAGGGATTTCCCCAGGATCAAATCAGATTATGGCCAATGCAAGCTAGAAGTAATGGAACAAAAAGACCTGCAATGTTAGATAATGAAGCAGATGGCAATAAAACGGTAAATATTTCTTGACAGAGGACGTTATTTCTGTACATCACCCATGGTATTTAGTTCTCTTTAACAATCTGTAAGTTTGGGAAATCAGTTTTTTTCAGGGTTTTAGTTTAACCTGTATCTGGTACAAAGTTTGAAACTTGAGAAGACTTGAGATTTAGTGGATCGATTTGGATAGGAGGGAGGAGTGCAGTGCATGATTTTTCTACCATGAAAAAAAGCATAGCCATGATTTTTATGTTAGATTTGAAACAGAAATGTGTTTTGGGGTTCTCCATTGTTTGGGCAGAAGCTCTGGATTTAATGAAGTGCGTTGCTTAAAATGTAAAACATGGTGTCTACATACCACAGAAAACAGTGACTGGTTCCACAGTCCTGTTACTTCTGAAGTGAAGTAATTTTCTTACCATAATAAAGGTAGCTGTAGGGATTTTTAAATGAAAAAGAAATTGGTCCATTTTAGATAAAACCTATCGTTTGTGCTTCATTGAAACTTTTTTTGGTGTTTCTATATCTGTCATTGTTTCTCTTAGTATTCATAAAGTTCCGGTGACTAACGCAACTAAAATAAAATAATTCTCTCGCTCATAAAATGTCATGGAGTTCTTGTATCTGATGAAAATTCAGATATCAGTTATATTATATTCTCCAGAGACTTTTTCTCTTCTTCCACGTCTTTCTACATAGATGATTGAGCTCAGTGACAATGAAAACCCATGGACAATATTTTTGGAAACAGTAGATCCAGAGATGGCTGCTACTGGAGCAACATTACCCAAGTTTGATAAAGATCGTAAGTATAAATTCTAAAACTTAAGTAAATACAAAATACTGCTATTTTGAGCGTATCTCAAAAAATGTTACCTGCTCCTTTTTTCAAGGATGGCATTGGTGTACCCATCAGAGCAGAGTACTGAAATTAGTTTTTCTCATACAGTTTTCCCCTCATTTCTCTTCAAGTGTATGATGCGTCACATGTTTTTAGAATCACTAAGTAATTTTTTATATATAAAAAAAGATGATTAATAAAAATTCAGCATTTAAAAATAGTTTAAGGGCATTAATCAAATTAATGAATGAGACACATCTGTGTTACTGTTTAAAGAAAAATGTCAGTTGCACACCCCCCACCCCCCCCAAATTTTCCTTTCTTAAAATTAAATACTGTTTCTTAATTTGTAGATGATGTAATGTTGTTTCTAAAGATGTATGATCCGAAGACTCGGAGTTTGAATTATTGTGGACATATCTACACACCTATATCCTGTAAAATACGTGAGTTCTAAAATTCAGTTTCATTGTTACAATTGAAATTTTTTTAAAGACAGTAGATTGTGTATCTTTTTTTAAGAGTAATTTTGTCACTGAAATCAAAGGTAGGCCACAGAAAGAAACTGTGATTTGTCCCAACACCTGATAGTTTTCTTCCACGCATTGTGTCAGTTAAACTTTCTGCACGGCTGAGAGCATTGCCTTGACACACCGCTGCCTGCCAGTTAAATTCCTGTTACAGGTTTGCTGGGTTCACAAGGTGCTGCTGAACACAAGCAGCCCTTTCAGACTTGCTGTACAGCTTTCTGACTTGGTATTGCTCTCCACTTTGGTTCTTTCCTCCTATTTCAAGGGGTGTGTTGTTTGTTTGTTTTTTTGGAAGGTACTTTTGAAATAGCTTCTAAAATAATTTTCTACAAGTTTTCACTATGGTAGCCCAAGAGCAGCTGCTCAGACGGAATCAGGCGTGAGCCTTGGTTTTGATACGGGTCCATTGAAAGAATTCAGCAAATGTCCACTGAGTAAAAATCCTTTGATTGGTCATTTTGAATGTCTCATTTTGTTGACTGGTACATGCTTTCTAATTTTGTAGTTTAGCTGTCTTAATTTCTTTTTTCTAAAGATACTAAAATTTAACAGTGATATTTAATCTCTTTGATCTTGGAGGGCCTTACACGTATTTTTAGTTGTTGTTCAGATGAAGTGGAAGGAAGCCTTAAAGTCTGTCTCTGGGTTGAATGTCTACAAGGGAAGCCTTAACCTGGAAGGCTCCCTTTCTTAGGCATTTTACAGCTGCTTACTCAGGGTAGAAAAACAGCTTCTCTTCTTTTTGCAGGAGGTCTCACTAGCAGTTAAAGTGCAATGCGTTTCACACTCCTTTTCTTTTCCAATAGGTGACTTGCTTCCAGTTATGTGTGAGAGAGCAGGATTTCCACAAGAAACTAACCTTATCCTCTATGAGGTTTGGATTAATGGACTTTTTGTAACATTTTTGTCCTTTACATGCTATAACTAGAGAAAAGGAAGGTTTATTGGTTAAAAGAAGGTTGCTCCTAACAATGATAATTTGTACATCATGAGCACTCTGTAACCTGTAGCTTTGAAGTCTACAGTGCTGCAAGAGAGTATCGGCAGATAGTTAACTTAAAACAGGTTTAAAATTAAACAGCTAGAAGCGTGTGGCTTTAAAAACAAAAAAATCTCAACATGAAGCCCTGCGTGAGCAGCTTTGCTGTGCTGAGTCTGTTCGTGTCCTCTGTGTCGCAGTGCTAGAGGAGCTATGCTGCTAACGTTACTGGCCATTGGACTTTCGGTGCCCCCCTTAGACAGCAGAGTTGAAAAAATGTTGCATCTTCTCCTTCCTTCCCTGAGTTAGAGGTCAGCAAACAAAATACTTGGTCTGCTAACATGTTTCAGCCCAAATACAGAGATAGTAAATCTTTATAACTGATGTATTTATTGAGTGTTGAGGATGCAGGTCTTGCCAAGGCAAAGTCCTTGCTATAGGAAGAACAAGGAGAACAAGGAGTTGGTTTTTTACTGCCGTTTTTGTTCGCAGTGGTGCTGCTCTTTCTGGAGCTTCCAGCGGAGCACGCACACTGCCATCCTAAAAAGCAGAACTCTCCAGTGTTCCCACGCTGCGCAGCTCAGGGTCGCAGTTTGATTCCGGCTTGTTTAGACAGATGCTTTTATCCCAAGAGGTCAACCTACAAGTGTAAATACATAATATGCATACAGATATTTTATAATATACACATTTTTAATATGGCTTTGTTATAGTTAAAAAAAACCCACAAGTGAATGAATTGCAGTACAAAAGTTCTGCACTGTTAAAATAAAAACAAGTGAGCATAATCAGTGTTCTCCAAGCTTCCTGGAACCTATATCAGTGAAAAAATTAATCTCTGAATTTTGGAAAATTTTAAGCACTAACAAGATAATGCTGAATGGTAAAATACTGTTGAATATTAAGATAACTTGAGTGAGACTCCAAAGGTAAAAATGAGCAGCCAGCTTATCAATAGCAATTAGATGTATCTGGACCTTAGCTAAGATTATATTTAATTTATGCATATACTTATCTATCTCAGCTGAAAGAAGATATAAGTTACCATATCTGATTATTTCTTCAATATTGTGATCTTTATTTTTGTCTTTTGTTTCTTCTGTGATCAACAATTCCTGTTCTGTATTGCAGGAAGTTAAACCCAATTTAACAGAAAGGATTCAAGACTATGATGTATCTCTTGATAAAGCTCTTGATGAACTCATGGATGGCGACATCATAGTGTTTCAGAAGTATGTATTTTGTGGGGCCAGCTTATCATTGCCATTACATCACCTGGTTCACTTGAAAGCAGAACTCCCCTTAGCGTTTTTAACAAGAGCAGAGTAGAATTTTTCAACAGCGGACATAGTCTCAGCAGTTCTCGTTTGTTTACTCAAAGGGGAAAAGAAGAATTATTGGTGGTATTTTAATTATCACATGCCACATTATTTAAGGAAAAGAAGGTTTCATCCTAGTTTAGAAAACTAATAACCTAAAATAGGTCTCGTTTGCCTGAGCATATGCGACTCGTAGGTGTACTGGTGCTTCAGCTGGAGTTTTCTCCAAGGCAAAAGGAGAACTCCTGCATCTTGTGTCCGTTACAGGAATCTCTCATAAACTTGTCAGGGCTAGAAATCAGCATTTCTATGCTTTCGCTCCTGATGGTCACACCCAACTGTGTTGCTGTGTTTCTCTCCCTGGGCGGACAGCGGGTGGAAGCCAGCTAGTCTATCTTCAGCACTCTTACCCAGATTATGTGAGATGAATGTATTTCTCATGTCATGCCTGGGAACTCGCATTCCCTGTTGACCCAGTTGGTGTTATGCGCCTCTGGCTGGCGGCTGGCTCCTGGGTAAGTGCACAGCTTGTACCCTGGTGCTGTTTCTCCGCTAAGAAGATAGGGGTACCAGTCAGCAGGGCTCCAAACCCACGTCTGTGCCGACTGTTTGGCTTCTGTGGTTCCGGGAGTGCTGGTGTGCCCCTGGCCTCTGTGCAAAGGAGTTGATGCAGGTGTGTATGGAGAGCTGCGGCAGCGTTAATCCAGACACGCAGTAATGTGCCGGGGTGGGAGGGAGGAAGGGACGACGGCTGCTAGAACGCCACTGCCAAACGCCTGGATTCGGAGTACTGCCAGATTGCTGGGGGAGCGAGCCCAGTGTTTGCCCTTGCACCACACAGAGATACTCGGGTGTCTGGGTCGCTGCTGGCTGTGCGATTTCTACTGTGCACGAGTGGTGGCTCTTTAAAAAGGTTTCTAAACTTTATTTCTCTGTATCTCAACTGTTGCTGACTTACTGTAGAACATGTTTTTAAAAACCGTAACTGCTTGTAAGTGTAACAGTGTGATATGTAATGGTATTATGATTTATTTACTCTCGTAGGGATGACTCAGAAAACGATAACAGTGAGCTGCCAACAGCTAAAGAATACTTCCGAGACCTCTATCATCGTGTGGATGTCATTTTCTGCGATAAAACCATCCCAAATGACCCAGGCTTTGTTGTTACTTTATCCAATAGGATGAATTACTTTCAGGCATGTGTCCTGTCTCTTTATCTGCTTTTGTTTCCTTGTTCTACAAGTTACTTTTGCACTAGTTCACAAGTGTGTTAGACATACTTCTAGAAAAGAGTAGATCTGTTCTTGCACACTTTTTGCATTGTGGTAATGAGAAATTCAAGGAAGCCGCTAATGCTAGTGAGAAGGAAATACTCTAAAACTCCCCAGTTTTATTAATAATGAGTTACTAGTCAACAGAATTCTTTCTTGGTGTGCCATGCTGCTCTGTCAGGGAAATGATATTCTGATGAAATTATGCGTTTGCTTTGTAAGTGATATGTAAAACTTGCCCAACTTATTTAGCTGTTGAAAGGAAAGTGCCTTGGGAATCTAGTGATAACCTATTTTCTCTCTTGTAATGTGACCAACAATATTAATTTTGTAGAGCAAACTGTATTACTTTCGTCACACAGGGCTGTTTAATGCTCAGTGGCACTGACAGATGAAACCTGTTGTGTTCCTAAAGGGTGACTGGGCGTGTTCAGAAGAGAAAATCTCAACAATGAAATTTCAAAAAGAACTTTAAAGAGCCTCGGTAGATTTGGCTCCCTACAGTTCTCATGCAGTTGCTTTTCTCAGGGTTGAGGAGATTCCTTAAAACCAGAGAGTTTATTTTCTGTCACCAAAGGCCCGCCTAGACGCGGTCCTGTGCAGCCTGCTCTGGGTGACCCTGCTTCGGCAGGGGGTTGGACTGGGTGACCTACAGAGGTCCCTTCCAACCCTGACCATTCTGTGATTCTATGAACTCTGAGCACCTGCGTATGCAGGGGAAGTCAGGGATGACTTTTGCTGTCCTGTTCTCAGCATCTGCTTTTCAGCAACTTGCTTTCTCTTATTTCATTTTTACTTGAAATGTAAGGTATTTATAGGGGTTTTTTTTTTTTGGTAAGGGAAAAATAGACAGAGAATCCCCATGCTTTTTGTGAGACAGTGACATGAAATATACTGATGGGAATGATGTGATACTACCCAGCAAGCTAGCTTCCTTGGAGTGAATTAAAGAACAGTGGGAATTTTCAAAGAGCAAGTCTTAGTTAGTTCCCCAGTAATACTATAGTTTAAAAAATAACAACCAAGAAAAAAAATAACAAAAAATCAAAAGAGGAGTAGAGCTATTGTTGCGGATTTTGTGGCCTGTTGCTGATAGTGATTTATTGTAATAGAACAGACAGTTTCTTTTTTTTTTTTTTGTAGTATGTCTTTTTTTGTGTCAACAGCTCAGATGCGAAAGAGACTGGTTTAGTTTGCCTTGGGGAGGTAGACGTAGTGGGTGTCTCTCAGAACTTCAGTAGCATAATGTTCTTGACGTGTAAGGAATGACTGTATGATTGTGAAGCGATGTCGTGACTCTCTGAAATAATTCAGAACTTACAAAAAAATTTATTTGCAGGTTGCAAAGACAGTTGCGCAAAGACTCAATACGGATCCAATGCTATTACAGTTTTTCAAGTCCCAAGGGTAAGATGAATTTCCTTAGTTTTCTGTGTCAAAACTATTCTTTAAAATGCTTTGCCCAAATATAGCTAGGTAGCGGTTACTTTGTGGCTTCTCCCAGGTTGTTAACTCCTCCTTTACCAGTGAAATGTTAGCGCTCTGGCATGCACCGCAAGTTGCATCCAGAGTTTTAAGTATTGCAAGGGCTGGCTCTAGAGACTCAGAGCTGCACGTTTTAGAAGAGTTCTAGTAAGTGTCACTGATGAAAGATGCATTTTAAAGGATCATTGTTTAATTTTCTGAAGTCATTAATGACTTCAAAGCCTTCCTGTATGGGACAAAATATTAAGCTAATGCAAGTGCTGTTTCAGTGAATGCAGATTTCTAGAACGGAGGAGAGCAGAAACAAGTGCACATGAAAGCAGGGGGTTTGCTGATTTTACAGGTTTAATGCAGGATTTACTTCACTGATTTCCCCCCTCGTCCCCAAAGTCTGCAAATGAGGTTTTGTGAGGATGATGATGATCTAACAAGTTCACAGCTGCTAAAAGGGACATTTCTGGTTAAAGCAGTGTTCTCAAGCACAGTTGTGTAGAACTGGATTGGAAGCTGTATAAAACTGTGGCAGAAAACAGCATATTGGTAGTCATGTAGGAATAAGTGCACGCACAAAGTTACATCGCCTTTCTGTATTCACATAAGTGTAGGTTGCTCTGTAGTAACCTGTAGGTATCCCCCTTCATCACCGATGAGGCTGCTGTGATTCGAGTAGCTCTTTATAGTTGACAGTGCTGTGGTCGCTCTGAAATGTACTGTGTCACACAGTTCCACAAATTAACCTTGCACAGTCCAAAGCATGTGCTGCTCAGAGGAGTGTAGGTCTGTCACCCCGCAGCGTTAAAGGTGAGCTGGTAGGCATCCAGGAGAGTGAACGCTCCCAGTGAATGCTATTCCTGTTCCCACACGCCCGCCTGTTTTTAAAAATCCTTACAGCACTGAGTACAAGGCTGCTTGGGCTGTGCTGGCGATTGTGTGAAACTGGCAGCCAGGGGCAAAAATGTGCTTGGCGCTTCGATTTACTGAGCGGTGATGGACTGTAAAGAGATATTTACAGTTTTCTTTTTCCTTCTGTAGTTATAGGGATGGCCCTGGTAATCCTCTTAGACATAATTATGAAGGTACTTTAAGAGATCTTCTGCAGTTCTTCAAGCCTAGGCAACCTAAAAAACTTTACTATCAACAGGTAAGAGTCTGTTGGTTTTATTGGTGCAAATTAAAAAAAAAACGTAATTTTGCCCTATACGAAGTATGCCTAAAGTGTTTTTCTTTTCTTCTTTAAGCTCAAAATGAAAATAACGGATTTTGAAAACAGAAGAAGTTTTAAATGCATATGGCTAAATAGCCAGTTTAGGGAAGAGGTGAGTGAGGCTGGCTGTTACGCACTTGCTGTCATTTCTGCGTCAAAGCTGGTATGGCTGTGATTATGGTTCACACGCTCTGTTGGCCCTGAATAACACAAAAGTAGAGCAAAGTTGTCCCTTATGTAAAAAAAAAACCAAACCAAAACAAAACCAAAAACACCAAAAAAACCCCAAAAAAATAGATTTTAAAAAAGTGTCAGTTCTTAACAAAAAGTTTGAAGATAACATAGATGTTCACTTTGATAATTGTGACCTTTTGAAGATTAATTTTTGATGAAGAGAAGAATCCAGTGTATTCTGTGCTTTACTGTGGCTGTTTACGTCTTCAGATTTTCTAACAACTTTTCTGTTTCACATTCTGCAGGAAATAACAGTATATCCAGATAAGCATGGGTGTGTGCGGGACCTGCTAGAAGAATGTAAAAAAGTTGTAGAACTCTCTGAAAAAGGTTCAGGGAAATTAAGGTAAAGCTGGAATATTTTGATTTCTTTTATGTGATCATGTGGACTCTAGGCAGAAAAGTATCCCTAGATTTTCAAATTCTGTGGAAACCATTATTATCAAATGAAGTCTGATACTACGTTAAAAATAAAAAGCAACCAGATTGACGATGTGAAGAGAGTTCTTGCTAACTATGAATATAAATGTTATGCAGTTGTTTAGTTTGTATTTCATAAAGTTACATCCTTGAGATACAGAAGTTTCATCAATTGCATTTGTTAACTGACAATTTAGTAATTGTTTCCAGTTCAAGCATTTCACGCTGTTCGCTGCTCTGGAGTTAGTAGTGAGGTCATTTAACCTCTTACAACTTTACAGCTTAATTTCTACTGACACTGAATTTAAAGTTTTACAAATACAGTAGTAGCATCAGTTTATGTCGTGACTACACTAATCCTTCTCAAGGTTTGAGAAGGAAATGTTGCATTGGTTTTTATTGTTGTTATTATTATTATTGTTAATTAATTTTTTAAAATGCTTTTTCTGTTTGTTTACTTTTAAGGCTGCTAGAAATTGTAAGTTACAAAATAATCGGTGTCCATCAGGAAGATGAGCTGTTAGAGTGTTTGTCACCTGCAACAAGTCGAACGTTTCGAATAGAGGTAAATATTACTTTCTTAAAGAAACTTTAAAACTTGGCTTTGGGAGCAGAAACTCTCTGAAGTGGTAGTTCTCTTTTTGTGGATTCTGATTTTCGAATACTGGATACTTGCAGCAAGCTAGATTGTGTGATAATATATATGTATTTTTAACGGTAATATTTCTAAAATTTTTCCTTTGTCCCATCTGCTTCCCTAGAAAGCTTTCATTCTTTAATTTTTTATTCTTAATCTTTAATTTTTAATTCTTAATGTTTTATTAATAATTCGAAGGTTTGTTTGAGGGCTCGTGATATGAATGGTTATGCTTGGAAACCTGCTTTCATACTCCAGTATTCTAGAAGACTTTGCTTCCTTTTCTGCGAAGTTTGAGCTTGTCGAGCCGAATGTTGGTACTTATCATGCGATTTTTCTGAACATTTCATCGTGCAAATCTGTTCACTTGCCTCAAAGATTAGAAGTCTGAAAAAGAAGTTTCCAATGTAAACTGTGATGAGGAGACAACAAGAGGTCTGTGATATTGCTGTCAGCTTTGACTACAGCTGGTAGAAGATTTAATGTCCAAAACGCCGTCTGGGGAAGCCAGGAGAGCATTTACAGAGCAGGGGAAGCTGAAATGCTGTCGTGCCAGGGATAAAAAACTCTTGTAAAAAGACTGTTGAACAGCATGGTTCTCCTAATTGTTTTTAAATCGCCTTGCTTTCACATCAGCTACAGTACATCCATTATGCTGTTAGTTACTGAGTAAGTTACTTCTTGGGGAAGTTTTAGCTGATTGCAGTCATCATTTTATGTCTGGATCTAGGAAATTCCTCTGGACCAGGTAGATATAGATAAAGAAAATGAGATGCTAATCACAGTGGCACATTTCCACAAAGAGGTTTTTGGGACATTTGGAATTCCGTTCTTGCTGAGGATACACCAGGTACAGTACGCCTCGCTTTATCCCCATGGGATTGTATCGGTGATGTTTTCCTAAAGTGCTGTCAAAGAGATTGATTAATATAAAAAGTGTCTAGGAGAATACTGCTTCTGTGTAAAAGGTTCTGCCCCATATATGCCTTTCTACGGTTAAATCATTTACCACCTCCGTTCTCTTTTGCACACAAAGATTGTTTCGTGTTTCTGTGAGCCTGTGCAATATCAGGAAAGTAGGTGTTCGGCATCAGCCAAGGCCTTGAAAAGCTATCAAAGCAAAACTGCCCCCTCGCCTAGCCCCCCCCAGAACCCCTCCCAACAAACCTAGAGTCCTATTTCTAATACCAATTCCATAATTGCGATGCAAACTTGCTGGCAACAGTGGCTAGGCCATGGTTGCTTGGCTTCTTTCTGAGACGTGATTATGAAAAAGGAGTTTGCTTCCTGCAACATTTTCTAAGATGAGTTTGCATTTCATAACTTCTGTAGTTTGATGTGCTGGAAGTTAATACAAGAGTGGAAGCTAATTCTGAAAGCTTAATTTAAATTCTGATGTTTTTATGTGGTTCTGCTGCTCCAGCTGAATGTCATGCTGAATATTTTAATATCAAAGTATGTTTCTGAGGGCAGTTAGCAGTTTGCTACTAAACTTCTTCTGTTTCACTGGTGTTAGTTTGTATGAACATTACTTCCTTTTCAAAGAGTTTTGGAACGAGAAGTATGTCCGCATCTCTGCATCCTATAGAACTTCACTGTATTCCTGTATTTTTTTATCAATGTAGGGTAAAACCTGTGCATTAATTTCTGGTGGAAACCATTTGCACTGCATTTCCGTGTCTATGACAGCTGATATATATATAAATAACTGATCTTTAAGTTGATGGTATCCATGGCTTTTTTTGGCAGTTTACACACACAGCATGCAGAAACATACCAGAAGTTACTAATTGAGGGGGGGGGGTGCATCACAGGTGTAGAGGTTTTAAAAAGTAAGATGCTTAGAAAGGATATGTAAAATTCTTCTTCCAAATTCCTATTTTGCTGCTACTTTTCTAACTTTGTTTCTTAAGTTTAATCTGACTTGCAGTTACCACTAGCAGTGCTTGGTCGATTTGTGGGACAGTTCACATAATTATTCCATACTGTAGTGGGTGATGGTGACACTGGTGTAATTTTGTAACTAACTGAGAGATTAAGGCAATGTATTTCAATGAAGCTTGAAGCAGGAAATAATAATGGCATCCCTTTTTTTCCTAGATTCTTTTGACATTAAAAATCTGATTGTAATTATTAGGGTGAACACTTCAGAGAGGTTATGAAGCGGATTCAGACAATGCTGGACATACAAGAAAAAGAATTTGAAAAGGTAATGGTGAGTTGGGAGAGTTTTTATTGCTGATTGTAGACTTTAAATGAATTTATTTTAAGAAATTGGAGCACCACAGATTTGGGAGAAGTGTAGATTTGATCAATAGAACAGCTGCTTGACTGAAGTATTCTGACAATAATTAGGTAGGATGTATAGGAGCAGTATTTCTGTCCTGCATCAAAAGAGATACTTGGCAAACCGTTGAAGTAACCTGGTAAAGTGTGGATGGTGCAGGACCTCTAGAGGCCACCCGCTTCAAGCTCCTGCTCGGAGCAGAACTAGCTTAAAGTTAAATTGGGTTGCTCAGACTTTTACCTCGTTGCAATGTGAGAACTCCCAAGGATGGGAGTTCTGCCGCGTTCTGGACACTGTATGTTAGAGCATTACCACTCTTATTGTGAAGGCTCTTTTTTCTTTTTTTTTTTTTTTTTTCCCCCTTCCTTACATGTAATCAGAATTTTTTGTTTTGCGACTTGTGGTGGCTGCCTCCTGTCCTTCTGCTTTGCAGCCCTTTGAGAAGAGTCTGCTTCTGTGTAGCACCCTTCAGTCAGTGGAAGACTAGGTGCCCTATTAGCCTTTTCTTCTCCGGGCTAAACAAACCCACTTCCCTTAGCTTCTTGCATGCTGTTGAGCCTGGCCGCGGTACTCCAGGCGCAGGTTCATGATTCCGGAGCATTCATATTATCCCATTATCCAGGTTGCTGGTGGAAGATTTTAAACAGGGTTGGCCTTTTTCAGTCCGTGAAGAATACTACTGATAGCGAGCTGCGAGTTAGACTATGAAATTAGACTTGAAGGCTTTATTTTAATGCAGTATCTCACCAGTTTGTGTTTTTTTCCTTTTCATAGTTTAAATTTGCAATTGTAATGATGGGACGACACCAATATCTCAATGAAGATGAGTATGAAGTGAACTTGAAAGATTTTGAGCCCCAACCTGGTGAGTTGTTAGACAACTTGACTGTTCTTTTGACCTGCTGAAGTTGCTCTGCCAGTTGTTATAATGTGATTGTCCTTAACACAGGATGCAGAAAGTTCGTTCTTTGTACGTGAAATACATTCTGTGTAGTAAATAAGCAAGTATTTATATACACTTGTGTGCACACTTAACAGTAAGTATATTTGTTCGTCTGAGAGTATGTATTTTATAGGCATACAAATAACTAAATAATGTGTTTCCTTGTGAGTGAAAAGTTTGTATTTGAGTGACCAAATGGGTCAACCATCAGTATAACATACCTCGCAGAGGAGAGTTACAACAGCCAGCACACCTTACCTGTGTTGTCCGTCTGCTCCCGTGTGCGTTGGATTCTCACATTGTTCCTGGAGTATGTGTTCATGTTGTTCCTAAAAAATATTAAGGTGCATTCTCATAAGGTGTGCTGCAAAGAGGTATTTGAATTCTCATATTCATTGAAGATACTTCTTGTTTGTTCTTGGTATCTTCAATGAACCTGAAAAATCAGACAAGAATATTATATGTATGAATAGGATGCTGTTCAGATTTTCTTTTCCTAAGAGATGATTCACCAAGCAACAAATGCAGCGCTGTTCTGAATTTGTCTGTGGATGGTCTGCCATCTTGTTTACTTGGCTGATATTTAAAGCTCTGTTCTCTGAGGGATTTACATGTAGGAGAAACCAGGTTAATCCATCAGGAGTTCCACCACAGTTACCTTTGGAGAGTTTCAGCTGGGAATGGCACCTTTGAATCTGCAGTCGGGGCTCTGTAGAAAGCCTTGAATTCAGCAGGGTTTTCTTTCCCCTAGCTTAGCACAGTGTTCCTTTTTGTGAGCTGCTCTGGTAGAAACAAGATTGAGGACAACTCGCTCTCTGCAGTTCTGCTTTTCTGACAATTACGAGCTCTGGTTTTCGTTGGCAGGTTGAGCTAGGGCCAGACTTTCCAAAACACATCTTGAAAAAAATCAAAGATTTATGTAACAGTTGTAAAGAAATCCTGTAACTGCCCACTTACTTTAAAACCCACAGAGAGTTAGACCTATAGTATTACTGAGCACTTTGCAGGAACCTCTCATTGTGGTACGTTACACAGCCAGCTTTGCGGCTCATGGATGTGAATGAGGGGACTTGCCGAAACTTGGAATGCCCGCGTTTGCACAAGTCGCCCGCAAGCAGAGCAGAGCGTGGCTGGAGGGATCTCTTTTTCTTCCGCCCTAGCTGCAAGGGCATTCTGGGTGATGAACTAGGAGGTGGACATTTCCCCATGGACAGATAAGCGCTTTTTTGTGTGCTCAGAGCAGGCAGGGTGCTGATTTTATTGTGCGAGTCATCTTTCTGGGGGCGGGAGGGGGAAGGCAATAGTCTGACATGAGCTGTCGGGCTTTCTGAGCAAGGCAGAGCCGGTGTTGAGCCAGTTTACATGAAAGACTAACCAGGTAACTAGGTCAGAAGTGTAGAAAGTGGCAGAGATTGGAGAGGGGGGAACTTGAACTGTTTGTAGGAGTTGTAAGGAATGTGAGATTAAAGGGGTTTCATCTGAGAATTCGCGGGAAGTTGCCCTTTTGAGATAATACACTTCGATAGAATCCATAACCCCCCTGACGTCCTCCTGTGGGGTGCTAATAGGATGGTCTAATGCCTGCTCATCGAGATGGTGTTTCAAGGGGTGGGGCCTGCGTGTTTCTACAAAGAGCAGATTTAACACGTGCTGGACTGATGGAACCAGCGCTGTGGCATTCCCTCGTCTGACTGATGTAGCTCATGTCCATAGTGCCCCTCTGCTTTTAGAAAGGTGCGGCGGTTCTGCTGGCGCTAACAGCGTAGGAATTCATTTCTTCCTTCAGAAGACATTGACGTGATCTCAGCAAGATTGGCAGTTCTCTTTTACATTTGATATTGACCACTATGTCAAACAAAAAGACAAATAATGTTGATTGAAGAAAATACATCAAAAAACGCAGATGCAGGCAACCAGAAAGGTCAAGTGTTTTATGCTTTAGTGATTGCAGTTGATGGCTTTGAATGTAGGAGCGTGCTTTTCTTGCTGGGGGGATATTTAGTTTCTGCCTCTGTCGTTTCACTTCAAAAAACATTTGATGCATTGCGTTGAGGACATCTTGAAAGAGAATTTCTCCTGTTTGCAAGAAGTATGTGGACTGTGGTTTTTCATGAAAACTAGTGGTAGATAAAATCATATTGGGTTGAACAAGTGAAAAAATCTCTTGTTTTTTTTACAATCTAAATATGAGTAAATTTTTTTTCTCAAAATAAAGAGGAGGTCAGTTACATGATTTCTTTATTAACTGATTATACAGTATAACTTTCATGATTTTACAGAAATATAAAAAAAATCCCACTTAAACGATGTGAGAAGAGTAACTTAATACAGCAGAGAGAACTTACAGTAGGGCAAATACTGTAGGTTGCCATATTTAGATGGTGGATGCCTTCCCATCTCAAACAGGCTCAGTGCTTTGGTGAGGGCTGGTACTGGTACTTTGATGTGCCTGTGGCCATACTTTTCTTGCTTTAGCACATGCTTCTCTGCTGTAAACTCCCATAAGGGACTGAAGAGGAGAAAAACCAGCTACCTGATGCAGAAGGAGCTGTAAAATGTGTTGCTGGAAGGAAAGCAGCAGTCAGGAAAGCCGCCCCATTGGCTGCAGACTGCAGGACTGTTCTGCAGTCCTCGTCCATACCCTGTGACTCCTCGCAAACTGTGAACAGGGGCACGCAGGAGTAGTTTGTGTAAAGGAAACTTTCCAATTTTGTCTTCAAACTTCATTTTTTTTTTTTTTCTCTTTCCTTTTCTAGGCAACATGTCTCATCCAAGGCCATGGCTAGGGCTTGACCATTTCAATAAAGCCCCAAAGAGAAGTCGCTACACTTACCTTGAAAAAGCTATTAAAATCCATAACTGACTTACTTAACCAGATTGTCAAAGCAAGGGACAAAAATAAGTGTGTGTGTGCACCTTTTTAACAACTGTAGAACTTTGGTACACGTGCACTATATCTGAAGTCTCCAGCAAGAGGATTTGCTGCTGATGTTAATTTTATTTTGTTGAGGCTGTTCAGTTTGGCTTCTCTGTATCTATTGACTGCCCTTTTTGAGCAAAATGAAGGTGTTTTTATAAAGCTTGGATGCCAATGAGAGTTATTTTATGGTAAACGTAATGCAAGGCAATTGTCAGCATAATGAGGGAAGAGTTTAGTAGAACAGTTGACATTGGCAAAATATTTGTCTGTAGTACGTTTCTAGATGGCATAAGCTGGCTGGCTGCCCTCCCCGGTGTGGTGTTCACCATCACTGCAGCTAGTAAGTCTTATGTTTAGACTCACGTCAGATTTATTTCCTTCAGTTATACTTTAAATGACATTTTTGTGCATTTGTAAATGCAAAAAACTCACATCATCAATAAATAGCAATCTCTACTTCATTGTGTACATTGTTGGCACTTATTCGGGATTTTTGTCTCCTCCAGCTGCATAGAATCTTTTTTAATAAACTAGTTTTCATTTGCTTTAGTCACTACTTTGCATCCCGTTTTGCCGAGTGGATGCCCTGAGTCCTGAAAAAGAGAGATTGGGGTCTTTTTATTAAATTGTCAACCATTGATAAATAATGTTGTGATTTACTGTGCCATCTTCTGGCAAATAGAATGACACTCGAAAGTTGGCAAAAGCAACTGAAAAGATTATAAATGCCATTGGTTTAGTTAACGTGGGAAGAGATGGGGAAAACACAAGAAATAGCCTTTTAGCACAGAGGGCATGCTCACTAGTGTTTAGTAAGCTGTTGACTTTGTATAAAAAAAAGAGGAAAAAAAGAAAAAAGAAAAAATGAAATTGTATATTTAATGAATGAACATGTACAATTTAACACTTGGAGGTTAATTTTGTTGGGTGAGTCTGCAAGTGAATTTCACTGATGTTGATATTCATTGTGTGTAGTTTTATTTCAGTCCCCGGACCGCTTCCTTTTATTTTGGAGCTAATGCCAGCCGCGTGTCTAGTTTTGAGTGCAGTAAAGATAGAATCAGCAATTCACACATAATTTTACATTCTTTTCCAGTATTTTATTTTGTTTCTGTAGCCGCAGTGTACAACAACTCTTCCTGTATATTGCCTTTTTTTGCTGGAAAATGTTGTATGTTGAATAAAATTTTCTATAAAATTTTTTTCTGTGAGTGATGACGTGGACGTTGAAGAAGATCTCTCCTTGGAAACAGAGTTTTGGGAAATGTTTTTATTTGTGAGGTTTTGTTAAAGATGTGGGGTTTTCCTTAAGTGTTGACAATTGCATAACCCTCATATTGGTTGTTTTGGGGAAAATTCGTGGGGTTTTCTGTTTAATTGTTTTGGGGTTTGGAGGTTTTTTTGGTTTCTTGTTTTGTTGTATTTTTACCTCCTAACTGGTCACATTTGAGCTTAACAAATAAAAGGTTTTCCAGGAAGGAGCCATGTACGATTAAGACAAATGGAAAAATTATTTTACTAGTTTGTTTGTAAAGCTTGTAGTAGAGTCTTTGTGGTAGACTTGACTCTGCCTGTACAAACTTTCGTGGTCCAGATTCTATAATACTATAAATGGTATAAAGTGAAATCTGGAGTCTCTAAAGGTAAGCTGTCTTAATGGAGTAGTAAATTCCCACCGTATTGTGCTCCCTGTATTCATGACCAAACCAGAAAGAGCTTAGAAGCTTCCCTTTCTCAGACCTATCAATAAACATTTCGTAGGGGTTGTGTACATGGGATGGCCTTTATACTTTTTTCTAAGGTGGATTCTGGCGATTACCGAAAATGCCAATGAGTATTTTTAAATTAATTTTTAAGATTTGTTTCATTCTTTTAGCTTTAAAATGAATTAATTGCTCAAGTTTTAGGTATGTTTGGGTTTCTTTTTGATTTGTACCTTGCAATGCTTTTAACAGTCTCTTATCTTGCGTCCAATCAAGGCAAACTAGTTTACTTTTTTTTTTGGTCATCTGAGTGCGTAGGTTGCAGTAGGTAGAGGGAAGTGCTTCAAAGGCATGCCTGAAGTGGATAAAGCTTTCCTTGGATTTGTATTTGCATTGAGCTGGTAAGAATGACACCACCGTCCAAGTGGTGTTTTTACTAGTACTTGGATTGTCTCTGCAGGACTTCAGTGTCAGGATTTATATTCAGAATGTTTCTGTAAAATCAGAGACTCTGGTCAGCAGTAGTAAGCCCTAATTATATTTTGTGAATTTAATGTTATGGTAGACTGATATGAAATTGAGCTTGTAACTGAATGTCACGAAGTTTTCACATTAATTTGTGGGATGTTGACAGCTTTTAGGGAATATCTTAAGGAATCGCGATACTTCCTATTTCAGAAGAAAACATCACTAACAGAGTAAATTTTAGGTGCCTTTTGATTTTTTAGATGACTAGTTTTTACGTGCTTCAGTATTTGTGCTGTTCCCATGCTAGTTTTGAAAAGACTAGACATTAAGGCATTCCATATATGGTTTTCAGTAACTGAAGATTTTTATGAAATGGTTTTTTTTGAGCACAAGTAGCTTGTTATTGAAATGTGGAAACACACACCTACGAGGACAAGAGGCAGACAGGAGGTTTTCTCAGGTGCAGTATGTTTGTTTAGGTCATTCTAAGAAATTTCCAAGAACCCAGTCTTCAAAATTACCATGCTTTTCATTTCTTACTCAGATTTTGGAATTATCTGGATAATAAGACAGTGAATGCATTAAATTAAGTTAATGATAATATAAGTGTGAAGCAATGAGGATGTAATTTCATGGTACACAGCATCAGAGCAACATGACGGTAATGGCCCATCTGAGTTCTCCCTGCGACAAACAGCGAGCGTTGTTCCTGTAGATTTACGTAGTGCCTTTTACCCTAAAGAGTCCAAAGTGTGCTCTGAAATCTCACCAACTCCCACCGGTTGTCGACTGGAAAGTGACAGCCGATAAAGCCACCCGTCATGCAGGAGGCTTGCTGAGCCACGCCGGGACAGACCCGAGCTGCCGCGAGAGGCATCGGAGGGATCGCACCCAGGTCGTGTCGCAGGACGTGCCAAGTGCGCCATGCCTCCCCCATACTGGATCTACCTCACCTGCTGCCCCGCCGGAGCCCGCATGATGGCATCCCCTCCGTCTGCCCTGGTGTCTGTCCCGTCCCGGCATCATCCCATCCCGGCATCCCACTGGAGCTCGGACCAGCCTGTCCCCTGGCTGTGGGCTGGCTGCAGGCAGCAGTGCCCACATCTAAGCTACACCGTGGTTTCGCTATTTAATACCCTTTATGAGAAATCGCTTTCTGTAGGAACTGTATATACTGTAAATAAAATAGACTAGGATAAACGCTGGATCGGTGTCCTGTCCGTTCATTTCAGAAAGGAGGGGGAGCTGGTGGATTGGTCAGAAGTCAGCGCTGACCTTTATGCCGTGGGGAGAGCTGGCCGGAAGGTGAATGCTGATTGCTGTGGCGCTTCCCACGTGTTGAACTCTGCTTGTGTTTTCTCAGAGGAACTAACCAAGCGTTTGGACACTGAGGTGGAGAGCATCGGTCTTTGGTGTCATTGAGTGTTGGCTTTTAAAGCAGCCTGGTCTGTGGAGTCAGAAGAAGGGGACGATGCTCACGTGCCATGTGCCTGAATCTGGCTGCAGCTCCGTGCTGGGCTCCGGCTCTGGCCTGGGGCTGCCGGCCTTGGCTGGGGACCTGGCACGGCGGGATGCCAGCTGTGCTGACCAGGCTCTGGCTGCAAGCCTTTGCTTTTTGTTAAATACTTGTGCCTCCACCTATGGGCGTAGAAATTTTCCAGCTACTTCTGTGAAGTGCCTCCTGCACACCTTAAACCCTATGGATGGTTTTTGTTACATGTGTATTCGTGTGGGTTTGGTTTTTGCACCTTTGCTCCTAGCTGGTACCAAGCCTGTACTCCTCGCGGAGTTTAAAATCAGCCCTTCACAGACGCGTCAGGGCAGTTTGCTTCCAGGGGGCGGGCGGCCGCGGTCTGAGGCGGGCGGCGGGAAGCGGCCT